TGCTGTCCCTGCTGTGTCTGGAGTCGCCGCGCGGCCTCGGCCGTACTTCGTTCCGCTCCTTCAGCAGGTTCTTGGTCTCCCGCCTTCTACTGGTCCTCCTCCTCCTTTAGAGTGTCCACAGCCTGTCCTGTCACAGTTACAGTTACAGCCGGCCTCCCCACTGCCCGCTCCTTCTCCCTACACTGGTCCTACTGGAGGTCTTGCTGAGCGTCGTGAGCCTGCGTCGCGTCCTGCGTCGCCTGTCCGTACTGCTCGCGCTAGTGGTCGTGGTTCGCGTCAGCGTCCTCCTCCTGTCCCTGGCACGCACCGGATGTCTCTGCGTCCGTCCACTGCTCCTCTGCGTGCCCCTTTGCCTTCTCCTCCTGAGTCCTCTCTTCCTGCTATTCCCGACCCGGAGTCGGACTCTCTTCGTGCTGCCAGTCCTACTGTCACGCGTCTCCTTGCTACTGTCGTCACTGACCCTTCCTTTGCGTCCACTGCTGCGTCTGCCCTAGTTGCTGAGCTCGTCGACTTTGCTGCTCGCTGTCGTCTAGACTACGCTGCTTGTCTTGTCGCTGAGTCTGAGTCTGTCTGTCCTCCGTCCGTCGGGGGTGAGTGTGCCCTTGGCACGGACGTCCTTGAGGACAGGCAGGAGGAGTTCCAGTGTTTGGCTGCTGCTTCACCTCATCTCGTGTCCGTACTGCTTACCCCTGAGGGAGACCCGGATGCACTTGACATCCCGACTCCGCGCTCTTACGCGGAGGCGATAGAGGGTCCCTACTCCTCTCAGTGGCAGGCAGCTATGGACGCAGAGATGGCTTCCTGGAAGTCCACAGGCACCTACGTTGACGAGGTTCCCCCGCCTGGGGCGAACATCGTCAGTGGCATGTGGATTTTCAGGGTGAAGCGGCCGCCGGGTTCTCCGCCTGTCTTCAAGGCGCGTTACGTGGCTCGTGGCTTCAGTCAGCGGCAGGGAGTTGACTACTTTCAGACCTTCTCTCCCACCCCGAAGATGACCACTCTTCGGGTACTGCTGCACATAGCTGCTCACCGCGACTACGAGCTGCACTCTCTTGACTTCAGCACTGCTTTCTTGCAGGGCAGCCTGCACGAGGAGATCTGGCTGCGTCGCCCACCTGGCTTCACTGGGTCTTTTCCTCCTGGCACCCAGTGAAGCCTCAGGCGGCCAGTCTACGGTCTCCGCCAGGCACCGCGTGAGTGGCACGACACACTGAGGACTACACTTGCGGCTCTTGGGTTTGCTCCCTCTACTGCCGACCCGTCGCTGTTTCTGCGCACCGACACTTCTTTGCCGCCGTTCTACATCCTCGTGTACGTCGACGACTTGGTCTTTGCCACAGCTGACACTGCTGGACTCGCCCACGAAAAGTCCGAGCTGCAGAAGAGACACACGTGCACAGACCTGGGTGAACTGCGCAGCTACCTTGGCTTGCAGATCACCCGGGACAGAGCACGCCGCACCATTACCCTGACTCAGTCACACATGGTGCAGCAGGTCCTTCAGCGCTTCGGCTTCACGTACTCCTCGCCTCAGGCCACTCCTCTGCCTACTCGCCACTCGCTCTCAGCTCTGCCTTCGGATGAGTCCGTAGAGTCGAGTGGCCCGTACCCAGAGCTTGTTGGCTGCCTCATGTACCTGATGACCTGCACACGACCTGACCTCGCATACCCTCTTAGCATTCTCGCACGTTATGTTGCTCCTGGGAGACACAGACCGGAGCACATGGCTGCAGCGAAGAGGGTGTTGCGTTACTTGTGCAGTACGTCGGGCATGGGGCTTGTGCTTGGAGGGCAGAGTCCAGTGGTCCTCACTGGGCACGCAGACGCTTCTTGGGCTGACGACCAGGCTACGCAGCGGTCGTCACAGGGTTACACCTTCAGCCTTGGTTCCGGCTATGTTTCGTGGCGGGCTACCCGCTCGTCTTCTGTTCTCGGCTCCAGTTGTGAGGCTGAGATCTACGCCGGGTGTTAAAGTTTAGAAGAGAGAAGAGAGAAGAAGAGGATTGCACTAGCAAGAATGGGGATACAAATAGGAAACCCTAGAAGGGTTGTACTCGCTATAGAGCACCCCACTACAGGCTAGAGCATAAGATAACATTCTGACACACCCCCATAGCCAAAGTGGGGTGTAATCAGCAGAGGAAGCAAAGGAGTACAAGCTCAGGGTGGATCACAATGTCACCACACATTCTGAGCACAAGTTCAAGAAGCAATAGTTTAAGTTCACAATTATGAGCAAAGCTAGTGGTAGTCACAACGTGCAAGTGAGGAGGAGGAGAGAGAGTGAGAGGAGAGGAGATAGGGGGCGACGGCTGAAGCTGCAGACACACGGGCAACAGGAGGCATACTGGCACAGCGGCTACCGGACGAAGTCCCCGGAATACAGGAGTAACAGGCCCCGCGGCTAAAGTAGCGGCAGACGAGCAACGGACCCACGGGCGGCTGGCACAGCTGGCTACGACTGGGCTACCGGACGAAGTCCCCGGAATACAGGTGCTGCTGGCGACACGACGGCAACCTCCATTCAGCTTCCCCAAACTATCCCACTCCCCCCTGGCACATACCCGCTGCTACACCGCTAGCTCCACTCCCCCTTCACCCCCCCTTAGTACCACTCCACCGGCTCCAACACGTCCACCCCCCTTCAGCGGCAGCTGCAGCACAGGGAGACGGAGGAGGAGGAGGAGCAGGCGACGCCACACACCCGCCACCCCCCAACCGCCACCCCCCAACCGCCACCCCCCAAACCCTAAAAACAGGGTAGGGAGGTAGGGGGGGGGGGGCAACGCGCGGCCCCCTGTAGACTCCCCTCCCGTCGCCTGTCGAGGCGACCCTGGGGGGGGCCGCTTGCGGCCCCCCCCAGGGCGCCGCGACGGGCGACGGGAGTTGGGCCGGGGCAGGTCGGGGCCGGGGCAGGTCGGGGCCGGGGCAGGTCCGGGACGGGGCAGCAGGGGCCGCGCACGGCTCCCCTGGGCAGCGCGACGGGGCAGCAGGGCCGCGCGACGGGGCAGCAGGGGCCGCGCGCGGCTCCCCTGGGCAGCGCGACGGGGCAGCAGGGCCGCGCGACGGGGCAGCAGGGGCCGCGCGCGGCTCCCCTGGGCGGCGCGACGGGTCCCCGTCGCCCGTCGCAGCGCCTCCCGGGGGCGACGCGGCGAGTGACGGGGCAGAAACCCGTCGCGCGCCTCGGGGCGCACGGCGGGCAGAAAACCGCCGCGCGCCTCGGGGCGCACGGCGGGCAGAAAACCGCCGCGCGCCTCGGGGCGCACGGCGGGCAGAAAACCGCCGCGCGCCTCGGGGCGCACGGCGGGAAGAAAAACTGCCGCACGCCATGGGGCGTGCGGCACAGAGAGTAGCAGTAGCAGTTGCAGCGGAAGCAACAAGGTGGTGAGCCCACCCACAGGATCGATCCAAGGGGATCGACCTGCTCTGATAGCATGTTAAAGTTTAGAAGAGAGAAGAGAGAAGAAGAGGATTGCACTAGCAAGAATGGGGATACAAATAGGAAACCCTAGAAGGGTTGTACTCGCTATAGAGCACCCCACTACAGGCTAGAGCATAAGATAACATTCTGACACCGGGGCCATGGCTGCACAGGAGCTTCGCTGGCTCACCTACCTGCTGACTGACCTCGGAGAGCCGCCTCGTTCTCCTCCAGTGCTGTACGTAGACAACAAGGCCATGCTGGCCTTGTGTCGAGAGCAGAGACTGGAGCACAGAACGAAGCACATTGCTCTCCGCTACTTCCTTGCTCGTGAGCTACAGCAGCGTGGTCACCTGCGGCTTGCGTACGTGGCCTCTCAGGCCAACACTGCTGATATCTTCACCAAGGCACTCGCGCCTTGTGATCATCAGCGTTTCTGTACTCAGCTGGGCCTTGTGCCTACCTTGCCTCACTTGCTCACCCCTTGACCTTGTTTGTACTGTTGCATATATATATACACCTGCTCTTGCTTGTCTAGCCTTATATATATATGTAATCCTGCATGTGAACTGGCCTTGTGGCCTTGAACCTGTGCTCGGAATGTGTGGTGACTTTGTGATCCACCCTGAGCTTGCTTTGCTTTGCTTGACTGGTCTTGTGACCCCTTGTTCTCCCCCACTTTGCCTATGGGGGTGTGTCAGATTTATATGACAGAGCTACTGTAGGCTATAGTGGGGTAGCACATATGGGGTACAGTTTTCTAGGGTTTGCATTTGTACCCAACTTTCCCTTAGTCATTCCCATTCCTCGTTTCCTTTCAGCATGGTGGAGGCAAGAAGGTTCGTGTGAGAGGCGTGGACGGGGAGGGACGCCCAGTCAACCACATGTACACCATGCACGAGCGGAAGCTCCCGGGGCACAAGGTGGGGAGCGGGTACGAGGACTGCGTGAAGCTGTGCCGCAGTTTCGCCCGCGATTGCGTGGGCAATCTCAACGAGCGGCTTGATGACCTGGGGAAGCTGGGGCCGACGAAGCTGTTTCGTTCTAGAAAGTGGCCGAAAATCAAGGCTCAACGGGAGAAGAAGTGCCGTGAGTGGCTTCTGGGATGCAGCAAACTCTTCCGCCACAAGCTGCCGGGATTCGACCTCAAGGCCGCAGAGAGAGAGAGAGCTTCCCACATTCTGCGCGATCATGGAGGCGCACCACAAGCTGGAAAGCTTCACGCAGGGACTGTCCAACATTCTCGGGAGCACAGACTCGAAGAGGTATGTCCCTGTAGTATAACAGCATGGTATGCCAAGCGGATGGCGAATGTATTTTTTGCATGTTATAACTCTGTTTCCCTTCCGTCTCCGACAATGTGCCTGGCAGGAGGTGGCCCAACCTCGTCCTCCTGTGGCAGGCGATCGCGGTGCTCCCCCTGTCAACTGTGGAGTGCGAGAGAGGATTTTCAAGGCAAAATGTGATCAAGTCTTGGGTGCGCGGCGCTCTCTGCAACGCGCGGCTGGGGGAGCTGATGCAGATTTCGCTACTGAAGTACGACATCGAGTGGCCTGACGCCCTGGAGGTCTGGAGGTCTATGAGGAGGAGGCGCCCCGCAAAGAGCGTGAAGCTTGCTGTGGCTGAGCGTGAAAGGAGGGGGAAAGCAAAGGAGGGTGAAGTCGAAGCAGGAGCTGCCCACCAAAACGACGGGGAGGAGGAGGAGGAGGAGGAGGAGGAGGAGGAGGAGGAGGAGGAGGAGGAGGAGGAGGAGGAGGAGGAGGAGGAGGAGGAGGAGGAGGAGGAGGAGGAGGAGGAGGAGGAGGAGTGTGATGTGGAACAGGTCCTGGGCGACGATCAGGAGCTTATGGGGGAGGAGGAGGAGGAGGAGGACAACCCCTTCCTTTCGGACGATGAGGATGTGGAGGAGGTGTTCCACATCGATAGGCCTGTGCACTAGAGTAGACAATGTAGGAGGAGGAAGTTGTTACATGCTGTACATTGCAGTAATCAATAAAAAGATTTGAACCACAACCCTGAACTTAGGCCGTCAACCCTGACAAATCAGAGTGACTAGTTGTTGAACCCTGAGCCATCAGGGTGGCAAACTCCTGAACAATGTGTACTCATTATCCAGTGAACTTTTTTTTACCGATATCAGGGGGCCCTAAAGTGAAACGACAGCCCTGTCGGTAACCCGCACACCGGTCCTCCGCCTCGACAATTCCCAACCTCGGCGCCAGGCCCATCGCGCACCCCTTAATTCGCTCGTTACCCTTACCGCGCTAGTTCGCTATTCAACATTCTCATGCCTTCGCTCAATGTACTGTTTTGTTTCGTTAGTGCAATCTTCGTTCTCACTCAATTGCACTCGTAACACTTACATAGAAATGAAGGTAGAGGTGTCGTTTTGTACCTAATCGCGTCAGCTTGAAGATTCGTACATTTCTTCAATCCCAAAGCTGTTTTGAAATTCAAACCGTGAAAACTTGAGTGGACCAATGGGAGCTCCACTTGCATCAACCAGAAGTGCAGAGTCTGCAGACCGACCGAGATTTTGGCCCTCACCTGCTCGTCGTAATGCCTTTCAGGATTTCCTCATCGTGCTGCTTGCAGCGTCCGATTCAGTTTGCTGTCCCAGTTGCTTCATACATGAAGAAGCGCGAGGTCCAGCTGCCAAAACTGTGTCCATGCAGGCACATGCCGAGTGCAACCCAAGCCAGCTCGCCAGTCCGGCTGTAACTAGCTATCGGTTCTGAAGCGCGTAACTTTTCCTCACGGCGCGTACCGCGTATCACAACCGCGCGCGCCTCGGCGAGTTGCGACGGATAGGACGCCAACGTGCAGCGCTGCGGTGAGGTGGACCGTGAAGGGCCGTCGTGGAATTGAACGGCCGTTGCTAAGCGTTTCGAACGCCGTGCTGTGCGTGCAGCTCGAGTTCGAGTCGTCGACGCCGCGTGTGAGAACATGGCGAGCGGCGGCAAGCTGTCCTCTTCGGACGCGGCGTACCAGCTGCTGCTGAAATGCGCCAAACACGGTGAGCGCCGCTGCCGTTGCTGCTCGCGTTTCAGAACTCTTAATGGCAAAATCTCGCTTGTTCACTGCGTTCCCTGGTGTTGCCTTAGAAGCGATTCGGGATCGAAACTCGGAGTCGCTTCATCCAGTAACGCGGCGCGCCGGCGATCGCCTCTGGTGTTTAATGCTTCAAAAAACATTTGCGAAGAACCTATTCTGTGCGAGTGTGTCGCCCCCCGTATCCCCGCTATAAGCAGGACGAGGCAGGGCTGTGGCGCTCGCGGGGTTGGCGGCGCAGAGGGAGCGGCAGCAGGCGCAGGAGCAAATGGAGGAGCGGAAGCGACGGCAGGAGAAGGAACGGAAGGAGCGGGAGAGAGACGAGCGGAAAGCGAGAGAAGGAGGAGGGTCAGCGCTTCCCAGCAGCTTCTCGAGAGGGCAGTTAAAGGGAGATGCGCATGTCAGACTGAAGCGGCCGATATCGCGGCAGTTGTTCTGCGACGGCCTTCAAGTTGGCGACGGTGAGTCGCGCGCCTTTCCCTCCTGTCTCTCTTGATGTTTCCACCCATGCATCGGTCACACTGCGACACTCGAGTGGCAGGCGCATCGTCATCATCATATCGCAACGCCGCTCACGTGCTCCACCGCTCGTGCATTCGCCGTCGCTGCTCACGCAGGCAGACGCCGTGATTTCGCGCCGTGAGTGCGCGCCGTGAGTGCTCGAGCAAAGGCCCCTTCACCCCCCTTGCACCTTTTCATCGTGCTCCACCGTTCCATGTCGGTGTCTATCTGCGGCGCCGTGGCAGGTGTGTGGCGGCCCGGACCCATGGGCTCGTGCAGGCCGCTACCGCAGCAGGCGAAGCGTCGCTTTCAGATGGATGCTGACGTGGACAGCAGGAGTGACGAGAGGCCGGCGAAGATGCAGCGAAGCTACGTGCTGCAGCAGGTGGGGCAGAAGCGCGGGCAAGCAGGGCAGATGCGAGTTGAGGAGGCGGCGGGAGGGCAGAGCGGGACACGCGAGCAGGCAGGGGCGAGTCAGGAAACGGGGCCGGGGAGCAAGCAGGCGGGAGTGGGGCATGGTGAGGCGTGGGCGTGTGAGCATGATGCAGGGAAGTCGCAAGGCGCAGGGGGACGGGGAAACGAGTGCGTGGCGGAAGGAGGGGGAGGTGGTGCTGGAAGGCGCTATGGTGCTGCAGGGGAGGACGTGGCGCGGCGCGGCCAGAATGGCTGCCAGTCTCGCATAATGCCACGATCCAGGATAGGGTGCGTCACTCTTCTCCCCGTTCCTCTTCCTCTCTCGCTTCTTCATCTTCCTTACTGCCTCTCCTCCTCGCCTTCGTTACTCGTGCACGTTCTGCAGTTCTCTTCTCTCTGCTCTCCACCTTCCTCTTCCTTCCCTCCCCTGGACCTCCTTTTTCCCTTAACCCCTCCTCGCAACCCCCTTCCTTTCCCCATCCTTTTGCCCCTCCGCCATCCCTCTTTTCCATCCCCTCCGTTTCCCCCGCCCCGCCACCAGTCTCCTCAACAGCAGAAGCGAGGCAGTCAACATGTGTTACGTCAACGCCACACTGCAAGCCCTCGCCTCCCTCCCGCCCTTCCTCTCCCTCCTCCTCCACCTGCCTCTCCCCGCCACTCTCGCCCGCTCCTCCTCCCTCCGCCTCCCAGTCACCACTGAGCTTCAGCGCCTGACGTGGCAGCTGCTGGGCCTGCCACGTGGCAACGGCAGTGGCGCCACTGTAGGGAGCATTGGTAGCCGAACCAGGGGGACAGCGGGTGGCGTGGCAGATGCGAGGGCTGTTAAAAGGGCCGTGGGGCGAAGCGCTCGCATCTTCCTGGGGCAGGAACAACAGGTGAGAGCAGCAGGTGAGAGCAGCAGGTGAGAGCAGGTCTGGACCCCTCTCATACTCCTATCTCGGCCCTTCACCTTCCTTCCATCTCGCCCCGTTCCCTTCCTACCCCATCTCGCCCCTTCCCCCCTCACGCACCCCCATCTCGCCTGCCCCCATCAGGACGCCCACGAGTTCCTGTGCGCGCTGCTGCACTGCCTTGCCTCCGAAGCCGCCACCATCGCCGCCGCTGCTGCCTCTCCCACGCACACCCACGCTCCCGCCCACGCCCTCGCCCACGCCCACACGCCAACCCTGGGAGAAGGCCGGGCGGGAGAAAGCGAGGAAGGAGGGCTGCGACAGGAGGGAGAGAGGGGAGTCGCAGAGTTAGAGAAGGGTGGACGCAGGGAAGAGGGTTTAGAGAAGGCGAGCACTGAGGCCGGGAGTGCGTGTGCTGTTGGCAGCAATTTCCTGTCGACGGTGGGGGTGGTGAGGGAGTGTGAGGGGTGTGGAGGGAGAGAAACCGGTGAGGAGGAGTTTCTCTGTCTGTCGCTCCCAATCCCCTCCGCCTACCCCGGGAGCCCTGCAACCCACTCCACCACTGCTGGATCTGAAGCTCCTGCTGCTGCTGCTGCTGCTGCTGGCCCTACAGCTGCTGCACGCAGTGACGCAGGTAGCAGAGGCGGTATTACTGATCCCACTGCTGCTGTTGCTGCTGGTGGTGCAGCCGCCTCTCTCACGTGCCATCCGCTCTCAACACTGCTGCAGAACTTCTTCCAGGTACGATTTGCTTCCCATGGCGTGCATGTGATTGCTATCCACGTGCTTTCATATTTGCACAAAGCAGCATTTGTTTCGCTTTCATAATATACCTCTTCTTCTATTCGTTCCCCGGTACCTCCTCTCTTCATTGCCCCTGTCTCCAGGACGAGACCGTGCAAGGCAGGGTATGCACCCACTGTCACCGCTCTGCCCCGTGCCGCATCTCCCGAGCCTTCTTGCGCCTACCTCGCATCCTCGTCCTCCACCTCAACCGATTCCAAACTACCTTCCACCCCACTGCATGCCTTGAGAAACCCCCTCTGTGCCACGAGGAGCCCACTGCCTCCCTTGGCAACCCCCAAGGCAGCACCACCATCCCACCGCCTCCATCGTGCCAACCACCACCCGCTCCGTCCCCTCCGATTGCTCAACACACACGCCTCCTCGCATCCCGCCCTCCTCTTAACCCTTCCCCTCCATTCCCTGAAGAGAACCCATTTTCCGTGCCAAAAGAAACTGCTCCGCCCGCTGCTCCGTCTGGCAAGGCGCCTCAGGCTACAACCGACGTAGCCTCGTCTCGCTCCCCCGCTTCTCCCCTTCTGCCGGCTGCTGGGGCTTCGAGTGTCAACCCCTTCTCCCTGGCAAAGGCTGCAGGCAGGCCGGTGGTGTTCACGGAGGTGGCACCTAAGGGGGTGGTTTGTGGGCTCAAGGGTGGCGGCCGGCTGATAAGGCGTGTGAGTACGGTGGGTGGCGATGCTGAGGAAATGGAAACTGGGGGAAGGTTGGAGGGGCAGCTGGCTGGGAGAATCAAGTTGTCAAGTGAAGGAAAGGGGGAAGAGCAAGAGGAGGGGCGAGGGGGGGAGGGCGAGGGTAGGGAGTGTGAAGAGGAGAATGAAGAGGTGGAGGAGGATTGGGCGGAGCTGCTGGAAGGGGCAGCTGGTGTGGTTGGGGAGGGTGCCGGCGATGGTGGTGGTGACAGCCCTGTGGGCGTGATGGTGGATGGTGGCAGGGCGGCCAGCAGCAGAGTGGGTGGTGGTGGCATGGAGGGAAGGGAGGCGAGCAGGGGTCGGTACGAGTGCAGAAAGAATGTGGATCGGGTGGAGATTGCCAAGACACTTGACGTTGGTAAGGAATTCATTGAATCTACTCACTGCTGTTCCATATCCCTAATAAGCCTTTCCAGCCATTATCTATGTTTGACTCCTTTTATGCTGCTATATTCTGCATTGACTGAGTTCATTTCACTTGTCGACTCTGCGGTGTACTTGTCTGATCACCACATCAGGTCCCTTGTGCGCAGCAGCGATGCAAGGAGCTATCTCTCAAGGCACAGAGGTGAGTTGTAGAATGTGTCACTCAAATGACTCGGTGAGGGAAGATTCTCTGCAGCAAATGGCTGCTTCTGCAGCACAATCAGGCTGTTTGATTTGCACGCATCCCTCATGCCATTACCCCTCTTTCCTCCTTCTGCCATGCTCTAGCGGCCGACGGCAGCACGGCAGCACGGCAGCATGCCACACTCCCATTTCCCCTTCCATCAACTTCATCCAACGTTGCTCCTTCCCCCTTCTATCTCCACTGAACCGCAGCCACGTGGCAACTCGCTATTGGCGCTGCGGGCCGTGGTGCGACACACGGGGACCTCCGTGGCGCACGGTCATTACATTGCTGACGTGGCGGATGACAGCCTGTCACCGCCTGGTTGGACGCAGCTCGATGATGGCGTCGTGATCAGAAACGTGAGTTCGTCTGACAATGTTGACGTCGATCTTGTATGGATGCACGTTGCTGCAATGGCAATTATACTTCATCTGAACCTTGCCTACGTCACTCCATCCCCCCCCTCGCACCAGGTTATTCTTGCCTACACGCCCCGAAACCCCTGCATGCATGCTCAGCTTCTTGCCTCTCCTTGCACAAAACTCCTCTCCCTTCGAATCAAACCTGCAGGTACCAGAGGCTGATGTCACAGCCTCTCAATCCCAGAAAGAAGCATATATGCTCTTTTATGTACAAATGGGTGCATGACTAGATGCGGAATCGTGTATTTCATCATATAAATTAAGGTACACTATACAAAGAGCTCATGTACACCATAGCCAGGGCCTATTTTTGCTTTTGGGGCACTCTTGGGAATCAGGGTGCCTTGATGACGTCACCCTGCCTGTCAGGGTATTTTTTCTTCCACCCTGTCAAAATCAGGGTAAACTTTTTAGCACCCTGATTTGTAACGAAAATGGGGGAATTGGGGCTGGGAGTGTAGAGGGAATTGTGGGGAGGGGCTGGGAGATGCGAGGGAAACGGGGGGAGTTGAGCGGGGAGTGGCGAGGGATACGGAAAAATGGGGCTCGGCGGCTCGGAGAAGTGAGGGATTTGGGGAGAGTGGGGCTAGGAGTGGCGAGGGCGCTCTGACGCGTAAGGGTAAGAATCAGCGGACACTGATTTCGACAGGGTAGAAAAAACTCCACACTTTTGAAGAAAGGGTACAAAATCACCCACCCTTTCAGAATCAGGGTAATCGTAAAAATGGATTTTAGAAAGGGGAATCAGGGTATTTTACCCTTGAAAAAATGCCCCTGACCATAGCCTATGTTATGTCATATCAAGCTATCCTGTAAATTAAACTAGGAAATGATTAACAAACGACACTTGCAAGTGCAAGTGTTGGTCTTCCAATGTTAACCCAATCTAACGAACAACACAATGTGTGTGGTTGTCTTATTGTACTTCAAATAATGATATGATAGTTCAAAGATCGGTAATCTCTTTCTGAAACAATTCATGCATTCCATCCCAAACGAATCCAGCTTCTGAACTGAACAGCAGAGATTTGAAGCTCCAAGTGTTCTTCGGTCAGTCGGTATGTCCTGGGAGTTGAACTGCACATGTACACTCCGTTCCGCCACACCGCGACTGGAAATAAGGGCGTGTGTCTTTTGGTGTAGACGTTCGGAACAAAGGTCGAACTTCTGTTAGTTACCAGCTTCGCGAATGTCGTAAGGGTTGTTTGCGAAGTTCGTGAAGTAAAGCTCAGTGTTTGGAAAACCACGAGGACACTGAACTCAGGTCGAACTCACAATTGAGTTTTCACGTACACATATATCCAATCGTGTGTTATTTGTCACACGCACGATGAATTTGCGAATTATGCGGAACGTCGCGCGCTTCGTTTGCACATCGCACGCACTACCAAATCCTTCGTAACCAACCCGGGTAGCCTACGAGGATTGAGTGCGACTCGGGCCCTGCCCTATAAGGTCGAACTTCGATAGTCGAGCCTTTTTGTGACCAACGCTTGACGCGAAATTTGAACACGCGATTCGACAAACAAATGTTGAGATAGTCGAGAACAGGTCGACCAATGTTTATTTGCTAAAATTCGGAAAAAAAACCTGAACTTTACCATCTGCGCCGAAAGACACACGCCCTAATTAGATCCCCAAGGGGAAATGAACAAATAAAACCCCTCGTAAGTGAAACAAACACTGTACTTGATTACCCTCCGAGTTTTGAATTCAATAGGGAATACAGCAGTCGAATCAACTCGTCATCCTGCCTTCCTGATCCATCACGTCCAACACACCAGCGAGAGAGCAGCAAACCAAGGAAATGGCGGGATAGGCGATGAGACAGCACAGCAGAGTTGAACAGGACGGAGCAACACGAACTGCAGAAAGCAAGGAAGGGAGGAGAGGCAACGGGCGACAGATCAGAACTGCAGCAAGAAGATAGCCGCCATATTTTATTACATTTTGAAATCTTGTTATCCCTAACACCATAGTCCAAGCGAGCGCACTTGCTCTCCCACTCCTTTTCAACCGGGTTACCTTGAACCTGCGGTAGAGCTATGGCGTGTTGGCGCATGAATGACCTTCCGGACGAGCTTCTCATTGCCGCCCTCCAAGCGCCTCTCCTCTCGCCAGTCCGACGACGAGGCTCTGTGGGCCACCGTGCGACCTACCCCAAGGTTCATTCGCGAAAATGCAGACGAGCCAAGTTACCAGCAAAGCGATACCATGTTTCCGAATCCTCCTCTTCCTCCAGCGTTCGCCGACGCCGCGTACAATCTTCTCCTTGCGTCGATCTGCCGCCGCTGGCGTCGCCTAGCGCAGCGCCACGTGTCCACGCTCCTCATCAAGGAGAACCGCGCCGTTTCCCGCGACGATCTCGGCGCGGCGGTGGCGTGCTTCCCGCGCCTCACGCACCTGCATCTCAGCGACGGCAGCGCGCAGCCCATCGACGACGCCTTCCTCGCTCGCCTCGCCGCGTGCTGCCCCAAGCTCACGGCGTTCCACCTGGGGAGGGCCATCGTGCAGAACCACGAGTACGATCCGCCGGGAGAGACCTTGCTCACGCCGGCCGGCTTCGACGTGTTCTTCCGCGAATGCACGCAGCTGGAGCACCTGTCGATCTCCTGCCTGCATTGCGAGTTCGGGTTACCAGCTTCGCTCTTCCAGCTCGTGCATCTCCGATCCCTCGCGCTGGCCGATCTGTCCGCAGTAACCACTCCAGAAGTGAAGAGCTTGAGCGCCCTCGAGGCGATGGCCATCGACACGGCGGTGTGGGACTACGACGACCTCGAGCCGCTAGCGCACCTGCCGCGCCTCACGTCCCTCTCCGTGCTGCACGAAGTCTCCATTTTTCCTGGCACCTTTCGCTCTCGTCGCTTCTCCTTCGCGCGCCTATCGTCGCTCAAGTCGTTGGATCTAGGATCCAGCCCCTCTCCACCGTTCGATGAGATGTTCCCCTCAGAGTCCCCATCAGAGTCCCCCTCAGAGTCCCCGTGCAGCGTGCTGGAGCGCGTGGCGCTGTACCAGTGCGACGAGCTTCAGAATCTCCCCCACGACATCGCCGAGCGCCTGCCGTGTCTGCGCGAGCTGAGCATCAGCGCGTGCGACACTTTGCTGGAGCAGCCCGACGCGGTCACGTCGCTCACCGGGCTGCGCTCCTTGACGCTCGCCAGGTGCCCATTCGTGGGCCTGCCAGAGCACTTGGGAGAGTTGCCTCTTTTGACAAGGCTCGTGCTGCACAGGCTCAACATCGCCTTCCCTGCCTCGTGCAGCCAGCTCAAGGCCCTCGAGACACTGGCAGTCACAGAGTGCGAGACCCTGGACGAGCTACCGCACCCGCTCGCCGCCCTCACCGCGCTCAACACCCTGTGCCTCGCTGGTTCACCCTTGGTGGTTCTCCCTGACGACATGGGAGGGCTCACCAACCTGCACACCCTCTTCCTCCAGTCGTACCGGGCGCGGGAAACCCTTCCTCCCTCCTTCACGCACCTGGCGTCGCTCGCGCGGCTGGAGCTGCACGAGTGCGAGCTGGTCGAGCTGCCACACGCCATAGGCGAGCTGAGGCGCCTGCGCGAGCTGTACATCGAGTCGTGCCCGCGCATGCAGACACTCCCAGAGTCCGTGACAGCGCTGCTGAACCTGCAAGTGCTCGTGGTGGACCAGTGCAGCAGCCTCTTCTCCGTGCCCAGGAGTCTGCTCAATCTGGCGAGGTTGAAGCAGCTGGAGCTGACCACGTGTGGCAAGCTGAGGCGAGCTCCTGAGTTCTTGCCGGGATCGCTGGAGATCCTATGCTTGGGGAGTGGAGCCCAGCAGGTCATGCATCTGCCGGGTGCCTACTCTCTCCCACGCCTCAAGCGTGCTCGGTTGAACATGGTCATCCTTCCACTCGCACTGTCCAGCAGCCTTGCTGCATTGGAGCACTTGCATGTGGTGTTGGCGTGTGAGGAGGAGTTCCCATTCGCGTTGGCGGACCTCCCTTGCCTGCGCGCCCTCACACTCATCACCACCGGTGTCATGCAGCTCCCACACTTCTCCACCTCAACGTTGCAGGAGGTGCGGCAGCTGGAATTGCTCTTGCCTGAGCTGACGGGGATCCCAGCCACCATCGCAGCGCTCCACAAGCTCACCTACCTCGAGATCAACGCCCCCAAGCTGCCTTCCCTGCCCGATTCCATCGGGACACTGTCCCAACTAGGCAAGCTGATTCTCTCCAACAGCCCAGCGCTCACGCATCTCCCTGCCACCCTCACGCAGCTGGCCTGCCTGCGCGAGCTGCGTGTGCACAGGGCCGCCATCACATGCCTTCCTCCCAACTTCGCTCGCCTCACCCGCCTGCAGAAGCTCGACTTGGAGGGGTGCAAGCAGCTGGAGGCGCTGCCTGGCGATCTGGCCGAGCTGAAGCTGCTGGACTGCTTGATCTCTGGCGGCTGTGACAAACTGCACGACAGTGAGTGCAAGATTCGTCTCTCTGGTGGAGGTGCTTCGTGCCGGTGGATGTACTAGCCCTCGTTGCCCATTCCAGTGGCAGCAGCTGAAAATACATCCTGCATGATTACTGCCAGCCAGCCAGCATGTTGTTATGGAAGTATGGTATTCTTTTAGTCGTGTTCTGTGTACTACTAAACCGATTGAGAGTTGTGGCTTGATCCAGTCATGAGCATGAATGACCTTTCAGTAGTGTGCACCGTGCCTCATGCACAACATACCCTCTTGCATCTAGATGCATGAGTTTGTATGTAGGAAAGCGTGCAGGCCTAATCCTGGAATAGAATGGTTGTGTGGTGGCAGCTACTGTCTCTGCAGGACATAGGGAATGTTTAAAAGGAGACAGGGGAGAAAGTTGTGAGCACGGAGTGGCAGAAGGGCATGCATGCACGCATGAAACGGGGGTCAGGAAGTGAAGGCAGGCACAGTGAGGGGCGGCACGGCAAAGGATAGAGTGGTGCAGAGGGTCGAATGAAGACAACTTGCCTTTACAACAACATACGTACATGCATACACAAAATCGACACCAACGTTGTAAGCGCAACACCAGATGCAGCCTAGATTGTAAACGGAGGTGTAGCAGGACAGAAGCCTGCTGCCACGCTGCCACGCTGCCATGGCATGCTACCGTTGAGAAAGAGCTATGATGAGAAACATTTATTACCATCAGATGCTAGAGCATGGCAGGCGAGGGTACAGGGGGTGTAGAATGAATGATGCGCACCAGAATAATCCAAGCCATGGCACACTGAACAGGCGATTGCTGCTGACACACTTCCTGTCCGAGCCCGACTAACACATTCTCCCTCTCACCTCTTTGCCTTGCATCGCTCCTGCGCACAAGGTACCTGGTGAGATAATCAGTGAAGTGCAGCAGCACAGAAAAGCGAAACAGGCAAAGTCAACTCACAATGTGACAGTGTCAAAGGATGCAAACAGTGATAGCGGAAACAGCTGGGAAGGCTTATTCAGGATTCAATGCCTGACATAATCTTGTCCAATGTGGCACCACTCACCACGTCAAGTGATGCAGCAAGCTCCACTCGATCCATGCTCTTGCTGCACTGCACTTTAACCACCCAGTGCTCGCCTCCCCTCCCTCCATGCCACCATCACCCACTCCACTGCTGCTCTCACCTGCTGCTCACACGCCCATGCCTCACCATGCCCCACAAACATGCGCTTGCTCAACTGCCCCCTCTCTCAACTCACTCCGACCTCCCTGCTCGTTTATTCCTCTCTCCCCACTGCCCTCCTCGCCTCACCTCTACCCGCCCTGCCTGTCCCCGTTGCTGCCCCACCTGCTGCAGCACGTAGCATCGCTGCAGCGTGGCCGGCCTCTGGTGACGTGCGTGCATGAGTGGACTCGCAAGCCATCTGGCTGTGGTGCACTGCACGTCCGCGTCCACGTGCAGGCAGCGCCTCCACTGCTGCTGCAGCTGCGTGGATGCTCCTTTGGCCCCCGGCTGTCATACATCTGCCACGCCGCCCACATGGCAGTCGCAACACACAGGCAAGGACGTGATGGAGGGAGGAGAGGGTGGAGGAAAAGGGGGGGTGGGGGAGTGTAAGGCAGAAATGTGGGATGGCGAAAGGGGGAAGGGGAAGGATGCATAGTCATGCAAGGAAGCGAAAGCGAAGAAGTGAGGGAGGTGCGAGGAAGAGAGTGGGCGTTGTGTGCTGCACGTGGTGTGTGAGAAGGCAGAAATGCAGCCCGGCAGACGGAAAGGTCTCAATGATTAACTGTGGTCTTAAGCACAGCAAACGACACTCCTGGCGCCTCCTCAGCTTGAGAAGGGCAGTGAGCAGTGGGGAAGCAGTCACCGTGGGGGTAGCAGTCACCGTGGGGGTAGCAGTCACCGTGGGGGTAGCAGTCACCGTGGGGGTAGCAGTCACCGTGGGGTTAGCAGTCACCGTGGGGGTAGCAGTCACCGTGGGGGTAGCAGTCACCGTGGGGGTAGCAGTCACCGTGGGGGTAGCAGTCACCGTGGGGGTAGCAGTCACCGTGGGGGTAGCAGTCACCGTGGGGGTAGCAGTCACCGTGGGGGTAGCAGTCACCGTGGGGGTAGCAGTCACCGTGGGGGTAGCAGTCACCGTGGGGGTAGCAGTCACCGTGGGGGTAGCAGTCACCGTGGGGGTAGCAGTCACCGTGGGGGTAGCAGTCACCGTGGGGGTAGCAGTCACCGTGGGGGTAGCAGTCACCGTGGGGGTAGCAGTCACCGTGGGGGTAGCAGTCTGGTGGAGGACCAGCGGCAGCACACACACTCAAATGCCTTGCCTGAAAGACTTGATTCACTTAAAGCTTAAATGCTGCCCGCCAGCCTTTGCTGCTGCCCCCCATTAAGCCCGTGGGGTGTAGGAGCGAGGCAGGCAGGCAGGGAACACGTGGGGGTGTAGGAGATGCGGCGAATCACTACGTTTCCCACAGCAGCAACACTGGCGGCACCATCCCAGCGAGGCATGGCCCCGGCGAGGCACGGCACAGCCATGGTGCGGCTTGACCCCGTGGTGACGCCTGCTCCGCGCACACACATGGCACGCCCACCCACTCCCATCGGCCCGCGCGCATCTCGACGGAGATGAGACGCGCCACAGGCTATGCAGAACCCACAGGCGTTAAGGTTGGCAATTGGGGTTAGGGGAGGGGAAGGAGACTGGGGTCACGGGAAGAGGGGTAGGGGAGTGGGGATGGGAAGGGAGGAGGAGGAGAGGGCAAGCGTAAAGGGAGGGGTAAGGAGGGGGAGAGGGGGAGGGTGTAAGTGAAAGGAGTGTGCGCAAGGGTAAAACGGGGATTAGGGGGAGGATTCTAGATGGTGTGTTGGCGAGCAGTGTGGGTGTGCGAGTGGAGGCGAGAGGGCATGGGAACAGCGAGCAACAGCGGAGCTGGATGGGTCAGGGATGAAGGGAGGGGGGGAAGGGAGGAAATGAGCATGGGTTGATAACTGCAGGGTGTTTTCTGCGGATACACTCTATTCGGAGCAACAAAGCATCCTCTATAGCCTCCGCAGCCCCATCGGCAACCCCCTTCCAGCCGTCCCTCACAGTCCTTGGAGCGACTCGCACATGCTTCGTCGCCCCACGAAGTTTGTACTCTGTCCGTGCAACCCTCGTACGGATACCGCGACTTACCTACTCAGGCGACAAAGACAGGCCTGCGAGCCTTGAGACTCGGTTCGTGAGCGATATACGGTCGGAACCCCTTCGGTCAGTCTGCGGATTCCCGAATGGGCGGAATTGAATCCAGGTCGACCGTGCCCGGCAGCAGCGGTGACTTGACTAAAGGCACCCTCCGAGGACGAGAGGCCGACCAAGGAGGCGCTAAACCCAGGCGTCATGTTCGGGGGACACTCGGGGAACGAGTCGATACTGCTGCTGCCAACGAAACAGTGTGCGCGAATCAAATCGATGCGCCGCGGGAGAAGCAGAACGTACTGGATACGGGATCAGAGTGACAACTACTTCCGTGCCGCTGCTGGCGGGGTGAAACTGAGTTGGGTCGTGGCTACCTAAGCAGATGGATGTATGCACAACATCGCCTACGAACGAACACGACGACGGAAGAAAATACGATCTCATACCATTCTCGCTCATATGAAGGCGCCTGCTCGCACTCGCGCCTCGATGCGCAAAACCAACTCCTTCCTCCATGGCGAGTCTCAGCACTCGCGAAACCTGCCTCTCACCCCTCCGCCCACCCCGCAACTACACACACGGTTTCCGCCGGCCTATTCCGCAAAACTGCCCACGTTCGGTTCCATAGGCCCCAGCACAAACTGGATCCGGCTAAAAAAATCCGACCTCCGCCACCTCCACCTTCCCGTCGATTTCGTTACATCCTCATTCGTTTCGTCAATTTCGTCAGGGTCCCCTTCACCTTTGAGAGCGGAGGCGGTTCTGGGTGCAGAAGACTGGCGGAAGGCTTGCGGAAAGACGAACAAAGCCCAGTTCGCCTGTCCGGACAAGGGCTCCGTTGATTCTCCTTGCACTAGCTTTCCCCGCCACCCCCGCTCTTCCATTGCGGGAAATGCTGATGAGATGAAAAGAGAGTGAGAGCTGTGTGGAGCACTCCGTTGCTCTGTGGAATAACAGAGATCCGTCAAGCACTCCATTCACTCTACTACTCCACCTGCAGCACCGAAGGCGCACTAGAAATTCCGCTAGTTTAGAGATCATGGCTCGCGCGTACATCAACGATCTGTCAGACGACCTGCTCATTAGAATCTTCTGGAGCTGCAAAGAACCCTACATTCCTCGCCAACCCATAAACAACAACGTCGATACAACGCTATTCGGCTTGCCCGGGCCAAGGTACTCCTGCGAGAATCCGTATGGCGAAGAGCTCACCACCTCCGATGACTACTTGCTACCGTTGTCGCTGCGTCGGAACGACAACAGTAGTAGCACGACCGTTGCCACTTGTAGTAACAGTCCGTTGTCAGCTCCTTCCGCGCTCACTGACCCGGCCTACAATCTCCTCATCGCCTCCGTCTGCTCGCGCTGGCGTCGCCTGGCGCGCCGGCAGGTGTCCATGCTCGTCGTGAAGAAGAACCGCGTCGTTCCGCTCGCAGATCTCATCGCAGCTGTCGCGTGCTTCCCTCACCTCTCCCACGTGCATCTGAGCGACAACAGCGCGGAAACCATCGACGACGCCTTCCTCGCTCACCTCGCTGCTTCGTGCCCCAAGCTGGTGTCGCTCCACGTGGGCAAGGGAATGACGAAGCAGTGGTGTCGGGTGGGCGGGGATGGCTTCCCGGTGACGGCAGCTGGTGTGGACCGTTTCGTGCGCCGCTGCACGCAGCTGCAGCACCTCTCGCTCTACTGCCTGCATCCGTATGAGTACCTCCCGCCGTCCCTCGCCAACCTCGCGCACCTGCGCACCCTCGGTCTCACCCACGCTGTACCTCTCCAGGTCCCGGGATTCACGCGGTTGACGTCTCTCACGGCGCTCGCCCTCGACATTCCCGAGGATGCCGATCTCGACTTCGCGACCCTCGCTCGGCTCCCGGCATTCGCCACCCTCTCCTTGTCCAACGCGACGCGGAACCAACGGGGAAGCATCGACGAACTCCCTTTCTCGCTCGCGCAGGTGCCGTCGCTGAGAGCGCTCGAGTTCGACCCGTGCAGCCCACCATTCGACTCGCTGTTTCCGCCAGGACTCTCCTTCAGCAACCTGGAGCGACTCCTCCTCAAAGGCTGCGAGGGGCTGGAGCGCCTCCCTGACGACATGGGCGAGCGCCTGCCACGCCTTCGAGACCTCAGCATCTGCGCGTGCAAGAAGCTGTCGGAGCTGCCCGAGCAGCTCACCGCCCTCAGCTGCCTGGAGACGCTCACCATCTCCTCGTGCAGCCTCGTCACACTGCCTGAGAGCTTTGGATGGCTGCCCGCGTTGAAGACCCTGACGCTGTCCCACGTGCGCATCAGCGGCCTTCCAGCGTCGTTCCACCAGCTCACCTCCCTGGAGACTTTCAACCTGCTCCATAGTACCTCCTTCAGATTCCCTGCAGCGTTCGGTGATCTCACAGCCCTCCAGTGCCTCTACATTCTCAAGGGCCCATACTCGATGCTCCCAAACGACGTTGGCGGGTTGACCAACCTTCACACGCTCCATCTCAGCTCAAGTTACCAACAGCCGCTTCCATCCTCCTTCACGCAACTGGCTTCCCTGACCAGGCTTGAGCTCATCAACTGTGGAGTAACTGAGCTTCCGGGGGATGTAGGGAAGCTGAGTAACCTGGGGGAACTAACTATCCAGCTCTTCTCAAACATCACTGAAATACCCGAGTCGCTTACTGACCTTGTAAACCTCGAGGTTCTCAAAGTCCTGGGCTGCCGCAACGTCTCATCCTTCCCCACCACCTTGAGCAGCCTGGCTCGGCTCAAGGAGCTGGCTCTCGCCAAGCTCCCTCACCTGCCACAAGTTTTGAAATCGCTACCCCATTCCCTCGATATTCTCTCTTTAGGGACCTACCAGCGGCTGACCCCTTTTTTGGAAGTCCCTGCTCTGCCTCGGCTGAGGAGGTTGAGCCTCATAAGTGTGGGCTGCATGAGGGGGCTGGTCCCGGGCATGGCGCTGCCCTCTGTGGAGCACGTGGAGCTGTCGCTGGTGGGCGAGGCGGAGGACCTCCCACTGCCCCTCGATTTGTTCCCCAACCTCCGCACCCTCAAAATCGCAACTGCTGGGCGCCTCAAGAGCTTTCCAAAGAAGTACGTTTCAGTCTTGCAGCGACTGCAGCGCATTCACATCAACCAGGCTGTCAAGTTGAGGGAGCTCACAGAGAGTGTCACCGCGCTGCACCGCCTCACATCCATTGAGATCCATGCTCCCGAGTTCTCCTCCCTACCGGATGGCATCGGCGCCTTGTCTCGACTGCGCCGGCTGAATCTGGCCAACTGCTCGGCACTTGCGGAGCTCCCTGCGTCTCTGACGCAGCTCTCATGCCTGCACGACCTGAATCTGCGCTGCACCTCCCTGCACTCCCTGCCTCGCCACTTTGGACGGCTGCGTCGGCTGAAGACTCTTGACCTGCATGGGTGTAAGCAGCTGGCAGCGCTGCCACGGGATATCTCCCAGCTCAAGATGCTTCATAGCTTGACCATCACAGGCTGTGCTGATGACCTTGACACTGAGTGTCTTGACAACATGCGTGGGTTGCGTATTGCTAAGACCTTTTATGACTACTCGGAGTGATACGGTAATAATCTGCCAAAATTTTTCTCGGGTGCTAAAGAGCTTGTTGGATGCATCCAAGGTGGGATAGGTGACTCCACTCACTGCATATCCCCAGCATGCTTGTTTCTTGCCCTTTACTATGTGCTTTCATTATCTTGTCCAGTCAGCGGCGGGTCGGTGGCAAACCAAGATATTGTCAAACATCTTATGAAGTTAGGAAGAGGAAAGAGGGGTTTCACTAGAAAGAGGAGAAGAATTACAAGCAAGAGGGAAGGGCAAATAGCTACACTCGGCAAATATGAAAGTGCTGCCAAGCCAACCCTGCCTGCAGCAAGAACTGGTAACAAAAACACTTCCTGAAGGGGTGCACGGTGCACCGCTGTAGCAGGAGGTGCAGCAGAATCAGGGAAATGTGCAGCGGAAGATGCAGCGGCAGGTTGGTGCAGCGGCGGTACTGGTAGGTGCAGCGGTGGCAGATTCAGCAGCGGCAGGTGCGGCAGCTACAGCAGGCAGCGGCGGCAGGTGCAGCGGCGGCAGGTGCAACGACGGCAGGTGCAACGGCGGAAGGGGGCGACAGGTGCAACGGCTGGCGCTGTAGGCTCACGGTCACCCCCGCAGCCTCCCCCCCACAGCGTCAGCCGTTCCAGCAGGGCGCGATTGGCGTGGCAGGCGCTCGCGTGAGCGCGGCAGCAGGCACGGGTGCGGCTGGCGCTGGCGACATCAGAGGACTCGCCAACCTGCATACACTCTTCCTTGAATCGTACAGGGCGCGCCCTCTGCTGTCGCCCTCCTTCACGCAGCTGGCATGGCTCGCACGGCTGGAGCTCCACGAGTGCCCTCGTGCACAACGTTTGAATGCATGTAGCTGTACATAGAGGAGCATGCAGACCTCTACCTGGAACAGAGGTTGGGATGGAATGGCTCCTGCAGGAAAGTTAAGAGGAGATCAGGTAGAAACGTCTGAGCAAGGAGTGGCAAAAGGTATGCGGGGAGGGAACGGTTTTCAGGAAGTGAAGGCAAGCACAGTGGGTCACGCACACCATTATAATCAACATTGTCAGAGCAACACCAGCTGAAACTGTTAGCCAAGGTCCTTGAGCCCACGCGGAACCTGCTTTGTAACTCATGAGTCAGGAATTCTGGCCGAACACATTGATCGAACCATCCCAGGTTCCTCCACTCCCACACAACAACAATCAAGAGTGGTGTGAGAAGGAGTGGTGTGAGAAGGAGTGGTGTCAGAAGGAGTGGTGTAAGAAGGAGTGGTGTGAGAAGGAGTGGTGTGAGAAGGAGTGGTGTGAGAAGGAGTGGTGTGAGAAGGAGTGGTGTGAGAAGGAGTGGTGTGAGAAGGAGTGGTGTGAGAAGAAGTGGTGTGAGAAGAGTGGTGTGAGAAGAAGTGGTGTGGGAAGGAGTGGTGTAGGAAGGAGTGGTGTGAGCAGGTTGTGAAAAGGTGTGTTGTGAGAAGGAACTGTGTGGAGTGTGTGGTTGTGAGGTAGACTAGTCTTCGTCACAATACACCACTGCATTGACTTGTGAGCAACCACCAAGTGTATCGCCACGAGTTATCCGTTTCAGAGGCTGCACCCATCTCGTCCCAGTGAGACCCCAAGAAGAAAGCTGGTGGGAGGAAAGAATAGAGAAGAGGGAAGCATGGTTTGAAACCAAGGGGGTGGTGGCTTGTGCCCTGCCCAGTATCCTCCCTACCCTTGCAAGGTACCCAAGCAAGAGACAATGCAGGTGTTGGGCTGGTGGTGAGTGGACTGGGAACACTACACCTACTGAAGCACCCACACACCTCCTTCACCCAGCAGTGACCAGCTGCAGTGTCCCATTATAGCCCACCTCCTCCTTGCACCACGCACCTCCTTCCCAGCAGTGAACCCACTTCCTTCCTCCTTCTGTTCTCCTGTTCTCAGCAGAAAACTGCCACAGAGGCACTCAGCAGCTGCGGGGGCAATCAGCAGCCCGATTGGTTCGCCCCATCAACTACCGCCTGCGCCGTAGTGGAAGGGGGGGCATGGGGAGCGGATCAGCGCCTTGCTTGGCAGTCAGTGCCTTGCTTGGCAGTCAGTGCCTTGCTTGGCAGTCAGTGCCTTGCTTGGCAGTCAGTGCCTTGCTTGGCAGTCAGTGCCTTGCTTGGCAGTCAGTGCCTTGCTTGGCAGTCAGTGCCTTGCTTGGCAGTCAGTGCCTTGCTTGGCAGTCAGTGCCTTGCTTGGCAGTCAGTGCCTTGCTTGGCAGTCAGTGCCTTGCTTGGCAGTCAGTGCCTTGCTTGGCAGTCAGTGCCTTGCTTGGCAGTCAGTGCCTTGCTTGGCAGTCAGTGCCTTGCTTGGCAGTCAGTGCCTTGCTTGGCAGTCAGTGCCTTGCTTGGCAGTCAGTGCCTTGCTTGGCACTCAGTGCCTTGCTTGGCAGTCAGTGCCTTGCTTGGCAGTCAGTGCCTTGCTTGGCAGTCAGTGCCTTGCTTGGCAGTCAGTGCCTTGCTTGGCAGTCAGTGCCTTGCTTGGCAGTCAGTGCCTTGCTTGGCACTCAGTGCCTTGCTTGGCAGTCACTACCTTGCTTGGCAGTCAGTGCCTTGCTTGGCAATCAGTGCCTTGCTTGGCAGTCAGTGCCTTGCTTGGCAGTTAGTGCCTTGCTTGGCAGTCAGTGCCTTGCTTGGCAGTCAGTGCCTTGCTTGGCAGTCAGTGCCTTGCTTGGCAGTCAGTGCCTTGCTTGGCAGTCAGTGCCTTGCTTGGCAGTCAGTGCCTTGCTTGGCAGTCAGTGCCTTGCTTGGCACTCAGTGCCTTGCTTGGCAGTCAGTGCCTTGCTTGGCAGTCAGTGCCTTGCTTGGCAGTCAGTGCCTTGCTTGGCAATCAGTGCCTTGCTTGGCAGTCAGTGCCTTGCTTGGCAGTCAGTGCCTTGCTTGGCAGTCAGTGCCTTGCTTGGCAGTCACTACCTTGCTTGGCAGTCAGTGCCTTGCTTGGCAGTCAGTGCCTTGCTTGGCAGTCAGTGCCTTGCTTGGCAGTCACTACCTTGCTTGGCAGTCAGTGCCTTGCTTGGCACTCAGTGCCTTGCTTGGCAGTCAGTGCCTTGCTTGGCAGTCAGTGCCTTGCTTGGCAGTCAGTGCCTTGCTTGGCAGTCAGTGCCTTGCTTGGCAGTCAGTGCCTTGCTTGGCAGTCAGAGCCTTGCTTGGCAGTCAGTGCCTTGCTTGGCAGTCAGTGCCTTGCTTGGCAGTCAGTGCCTTGCTTGGCAGTCAGTGCCTTGCTTGGCAGTCAGTGCCTTGCTTGGCAGTCAGTGCCTTGCTTGGCAGTCAGTGCCTTGCTTGGCAGTCAGTGCCTTGCTTGGCACTCAGTGCCTTGCTTGGCAGTCAGTGCCTTGCTTGGCAGTCAGTGCCTTGCTTGGCAGTCAGTGCCTTGCTTGGCAGTCAGTGCCTTGCTTGGCAGTCAGTGCCTTGCTTGGCAGTCAGTGCCTTGCTTGGCACTCAGTGCCTTGCTTGGCAGTCACTACCTTGCTTGGCAGTCAGTGCCTTGCTTGGCAATCAGTGCCTTGCTTGGCAGTCAGTGCCTTGCTTGGCAGTCAGTGCCTTGCTTGGCAGTCAGTGCCTTGCTTGGCAGTCAGTGCCTTGCTTGGCAGTCAGTGCCTTGCTTGGCAGTCAGTGCCTTGCTTGGCAGTCAGTGCCTTGCTTGGCAGTCAGTGCCTTGCTTGGCAGTCAGTGCCTTGCTTGGCAGTCAGTGCCTTGCTTGGCAGTCAGTGCCTTGCTTGGCAGTCAGTGCCTTGCTTGGCAGTCAGTGCCTTGCTTGGCACTCAGTGCCTTGCTTGGCAGTCAGTGCCTTGCTTGGCAGTCAGTGCCTTGCTTGGCAGTCAGTGCCTTGCTTGGCAATCAGTGCCTTGCTTGGCAGTCAGTGCCTTGCTTGGCAGTCAGTGCCTTGCTTGGCAGTCAGTGCCTTGCTTGGCAGTCAGTGCCTTGCTTGGCAGTCAGTGCCTTGCTTGGCAGTCAGTGCCTTGCTTGGCAGTCAGTGCCTTGCTTGGCAGTCAGTGCCTTGCTTGGCAGTCAGTGCCTTGCTTGGCAGTCAGTGCCTTGCTTGGCAGTCAGTGCCTTGCTTGGCAGTCAGTGCCTTGCTTGGCAGTCAGTGCCTTGCTTGGCAGTCAGAGCCTTGCTTGGCAGTCAGTGCCTTGCTTGGCAATCAGTGCCTTGCTTGGCAGTCAGTGCCTTGCTTGGCAGTCAGTGCCTTGCTTGGCAGTCAGTGCCTTGCTTGGCAGTCAGTGCCTTGCTTGGCAGTCAGTGCCTTGCTTGGCAGTCAGTGCCTTGCTTGGCAGTCAGTGCCTTGCTTGGCAGTCAGTGCCTTGCTTGGCAGTCAGTGCCTTGCTTGGCAGTCAGTGCCTTGCTTGGCAGTCACTACCTTGCTTGGCAGTCAGTGCCTTGCTTGGCAGTCAGTGCCTTGCTTGGCAGTCAGTGCCTTGCTTGGCAGTCAGTGCCTTGCTTGGCAGTCAGTGCCTTGCTTGGCAGTCAGTGCCTTGCTTGGCAGTCACTACCTTGCTTGGCAGTCAGTGCCTTGCTTGGCACTCAGTGCCTTGCTTGGCAGTCAGTGCCTTGCTTGGCAGTCAGTGCCTTGCTTGGCAGTCAGTGCCTTGCTTGGCAGTCAGTGCCTTGCTTGGCAGTCAGTGCCTTGCTTGGCAGTCAGAGCCTTGCTTGGCAGTCAGTGCCTTGCTTGGCAGTCAGTGCCTTGCTTGGCAGTCAGTGCCTTGCTTGGCAGTCAGTGCCTTGCTTGGCAGTCAGTGCCTTGCTTGGCAGTCAGTGCCTTGCTTGGCAGTCAGTGCCTTGCTTGGCAGTCAGTGCCTTGCTTGGCACTCAGTGCCTTGCTTGGCAGTCAGTGCCTTGCTTGGCAGTCAGTGCCTTGCTTGGCAGTCAGTGCCTTGCTTGGCAGTCAGTGCCTTGCTTGGCAGTCAGTGCCTTGCTTGGCAGTCAGTGCCTTGCTTGGCACTCAGTGCCTTGCTTGGCAGTCACTACCTTGCTTGGCAGTCAGTGCCTTGCTTGGCAATCAGTGCCTTGCTTGGCAGTCAGTGCCTTGCTTGGCAGTCAGTGCCTTGCTTGGCAGTCAGTGCCTTGCTTGGCAGTCAGTGCCTTGCTTGGCAGTCAGTGCCTTGCTTGGCAGTCAGTGCCTTGCTTGGCAGTCAGTGCCTTGCTTGGCAGTCAGTGCCTTGCTTGGCAGTCAGTGCCTTGCTTGGCAGTCAGTGCCTTGCTTGGCAGTCAGTGCCTTGCTTGGCAGTCAGTGCCTTGCTTGGCAGTCAGTGCCTTGCTTGGCACTCAGTGCCTTGCTTGGCAGTCAGTGCCTTGCTTGGCAGTCAGTGCCTTGCTTGGCAGTCAGTGCCTTGCTTGGCAATCAGTGCCTTGCTTGGCAGTCAGTGCCTTGCTTGGCAGTCAGTGCCTTGCTTGGCAGTCAGTGCCTTGCTTGGCAGTCAGTGCCTTGCTTGGCAGTCAGTGCCTTGCTTGGCAGTCAGTGCCTTGCTTGGCAGTCAGTGCCTTGCTTGGCAGTCAGTGCCTTGCTTGGCAGTCAGTGCCTTGCTTGGCAGTCAGTGCCTTGCTTGGCAGTCAGTGCCTTGCTTGGCAGTCAGTGCCTTGCTTGGCACTCAGTGCATTGCTTGGCAGTCAGTGCCTTGCTTGGCAGTCAGTGCCTTGCTTGGCAGTCAGTGCCTTGCTTGGCAGTCAGTGCCTTGCTTGGCAGTCAGTGCCTTGCTTGGCAGTCAGTGCCTTGCTTGGCAGTCAGTGCCTTGCTTGGCAGTCAGTGCCTTGCTTGGCAGTCAGTGCCTTGCTTGGCAGTCAGTGCCTTGCTTGGCAGTCAGTGCCTTGCTTGGCAGTCAGTGCCTTGCTTGGCAGTCAGTGCCTTGCTTGGCAGTCAGTGCCTTGCTTGGCAGTCAGTGCCTTGCTTGGCAGTCAGTGCCTTGCTTGGCAGTCAGTGCCTTGCTTGGCAGTCAGTGCCTTGCTTGGCAGTCAGTGCCTTGCTTGGCAGTCAGTGCCTTGCTTGGCAGTCAGTGCCTTGCTTGGCAGTCAGTGCCTTGCTTGGCAGTCAGTGCCTTGCTTGGCAGTCAGTGCCTTGCTTGGCAGTCAGTGCCTTGCTTGGCAGTCAGTGCCTTGCTTGGCAGTCAGTGCCTTGCTTGGCAGTCAGTGCCTTGCTTGGCAGTCAGTGCCTTGCTTGGCAGTCAGTGCCTTGCTTGGCAGTCAGTGCCTTGCTTGGCAGTCAGTGCCTTGCTTGGCAGTCAGTGCCTTGCTTGGCAGTCAGTGCCTTGCTTGGCAGTCAGTGCCTTGCTTGGCAGTCAGTGCCTTGCTTGGCAGTCAGTGCCTTGCTTGGCAGTCAGTGCCTTGCTTGGCAGTCAGTGCCTTGCTTGGCAGTCAGTGCCTTGCTTGGCAGTCAGTGCCTTGCTTGGCAGTCAGTGCCTTGCTTGGGAGTCACTGCCTTGCTTGGCAGTCAGTGCCTTGCTTGGCAGTCAGTGATGCGCAAATCTGCACCCAGTTCGCGGGGCTGTGGCGAGAGGAGTTGGAGTAGGGGCTTAAGAGCAATGGGGTATGAGGGAGTGTGAAAAAATAGATGGAAGGGGGGTATGAGGGGGGTTATGAGAGGAGTGGGAGGTTACGTGTTTAGGCATTGTGTGGTGCATGCATGCATGCGTGTGACCATGCATCACATAGTTGTACCAAGATCATGGGAATTGAGGAATCGTGATGGTCTTGCATGGATGATGATGAGTTGCATGGACTTGAATGGATGGCATTGAGCATGCACATTTGATTGACAGGGCCTGAACGTGGCAAACCAAGACTGGAGCCGAGTGAGGTGGCTTCGGCTGGAAGGGCACATGCTGGCAATGCTGCCACATGGGGAGGAAGGCAGGTGTCGAAAATCAAGGAGGGATATGGGAAGGTTGTTCAGAGAGAAAAAATCGGTACAAAACAGGGTGTGGCAGGAGGGTGAAGGGGAAAGGGTAGCATAATGTCGTCACAACATCAAATGCCAACACATACTTTATCAACAGATTAGCTGTCATCACATAACAGGATGTACCATTGTTTGTGATTATAAGTAATTAATAACAACATGATGTGGCCACTACTGAGCCAGAAAAGTAATTTACGGCCCAACTTCCGTTCCCCCTCCTCTTTCCATTTCTTCCAGATGAATGGATGTACAGAGGTCTCTCTACTTTCGCATTTCCCCGTCACCATTACACATAGCCTCTTATCACATCACCACATCATTTCCCCTCATATCCTCACTCGCGTTTCAAAAATAACCTGTCCACAATCTCATGACACTACAAAATTATGCTAGATCGTGGTGGAGTATGTCGGCATGCAGTAACACTAACACGGACCTAAGCTTATGAGAGGTGAGAACTGCATATCCTCTTCAGCGCTGGAGCATAAGACACCTCGTAGTGTTTAAGTCATCAAGCATTCTAAGATCAGATAAGTCGTCAGGCAGAGCCTCCAGCTGCTCGCATTGACCCAGATCAAGCTTCTTGAGTCTGCTCAGGTTAGCAAAGACAGCAGGAAGCAGGCGGATGCTGGCGTCGAAGAGATTCAGCTCTTGCAGGCAGGAGAGCTGCGTGAGGGAATCAGGGAGATGCGCGATCGATGAGCAGAATGTCAAGTCCAGCTTGCGCAGCCTTGACAATGCCCCAAGGCCGTCCGGGAGAGATGATAACTTCGGCGCGCGGATTTCAATGGATGTCAGATGGTGGAGAGTGGTGATGGCCGCAGGCAGCTCTGTGAATCGATCAGACCGGGTGATGATGGTCAGCTCCTGCAGCTCCTGCAATGCCGAGCCACCAGGTTCCACCAGATTGCTCACACTGCCGACCCCCGTGAGCATCAAGGTGCGGAGGTGGGGAAGCCTTGCCAGCAGGGACAGAGACTCCTCTGCTTCTTCGTCCAGCTCCAGTTCCAGGTGCTTCAAATTAGGGAGATGGGCACTGATGGCCTCAATACAGGTTGAATACACAAAGCCCAAGCACAGTTCTCTCAGCCCTGTGAGAGTTGAAATGTCTAGCATAGACGCTACCTCCTCATTGTTATCGAAGGACACGGCTTGGATACTGAGCGGCAGAGCCTGAGGGGCTTCGTTCAGCTCGCAACAGCCCGTCACCCCCAACTGCGTCAGCTTGGTAAGGCTGTCCAGCCTCGTTGGAATTGATGAGAGATTGTGACACCCTTCAATGGTCAGCACTTCAAGGCTGACGAGCGCCGTCACGAATTTCGGAATCTCCCTGACAGAAGGGCAGTTCCAAATGTGGAGCTCCCGCAGATTTGTCATCTCCACCACGCCCTTTGGCAGCTCGGCAATCTCGCACTGGTTCAGCTCCACCCGGGTCAGAGAAGCCAGCTGCGTGAATGAGGACGGCAGCTGCTCTTGCCTGTTCTCCTGAAGATGAAAGGTTCGCAGATTGGTCAGGGCACCCAAGTCTTCTGGAAGGTGCAGGGTGGGCGAAAATGTGAGGTTCAAAGTCTGGAGTGCTGTGAGGCAGCCAAACCCTGCAGGTAGCTCCTGCAGCTCCCTACACCCAACCAGAAGCAACGACTCCAGAGATGCGAGTCTGGTGAAGGAAGCAGGGAGACGGTGAAGTGGCAGCCCGTGCAGCACCAGTGCCTTCAAGGCTGGAAGATCCCCAAAGTTGTCAGGCAGAGTGGACACACGATTTGAGTACAGCGACAGATGCTCCAGTTGAGGGCAGTGGCGGAAGAAATGATCCAAGCCAGATTCGGTGATCACGCGCTCGTTGATTCCACGCGGTCCCCCGTTCGCCGCTAGCATCCCCACGTGCAGCGCTCTCAACCCAGGGCACGAAGAGGCGAGGTCAGCTAGAAACGCGTCGTCCAGCGTTTCAACGCTACGATCCGCCAGGTGCAGATGGGTGAGCCGGGGAAAGAAAGCGACGGCGTTGAGCACATCGCGGTGAGACACGACGCGGCCCTTCTCGACCAGCAGCGATGCGACATGCCTCTTAGCGAGATCCCGCCAGCGCCGACAGATGGACGCAATGAAGAGGCAGGCATCTGCGGAGGCGGTCGGCACGGGAGTATCCCTTCGCTTGCGCCAGGGCTCTTCTGAAGTAGACTGCGCGACGAGATATGTGGGCCTGTGTCCCACGGCGTTCCGCAGGTCATTGCTATTGGATCTGCACGAGATCGACTGTTCGGAAGGCCACAAGATCCTAATAAGCACATCGTCGGGGAGATCGTGGATGTGGGTTCCAGTAGAGGCCATGATGACAGTCGTACGCACGGACTGGCTGCTCAAGTGAAGCTCAACACAACCTTGAGAGAGTCGAATGCCTTGGATGCGAGTATGCTAGTATACCACGCCTTTCACGAGCATACAATAGTGTTGAAGGTCACTTAAGATCAGTTTCGTGTGTTCTTTATGACTAAGACAGACCAAGCTACGAGCAGCCGCAGCTGCGAATGTAAAACTTCCCGCTCACCTGAAACAACGCTGGGTCGCTCAGAATGCGTGCGCCGCGGCTAATAAAACGCGATCTCAACTGGGCCCGTGCTCTCAGCAGCAGCCGAGTCTACACGTGGCTTGACTATGTCGCGAGCTAGCAGTCAGTTCCACATGCAGCTCGCGACACCCCAGACGCTCACAAGGCCAGCTCTCAGTGGAGAGATCTGAAGCTTTATGGCGAGAGCAATTTCTTTCCCCAAACCAAACCAAACCAAACCGTCTGACGAGGTGAACCTTCGAGAGTTGTTTCCATCCTCCAAACCATGCGCTGAGAGAGAGGCTCCATCTTTCTGGGGATGACGCTCTCTAGGGTTACCGCTTCGTATGCCAATCGCTATTTTCGCACAAGGCCTTCGATTTTTTTTTTTTTTTTTTTGGATGCAATACACTTATATAAGCGGTTACATCCACAGTCGCACAAGGCCTTCGAGGCCCAGGGCTCGTTTCGCTAAGCAGAACCTGTTGGGAACTTCCTAGCAGTCAATCTAGAAACAGACAGGCGAAGACATGAAATTCTCGTCCCCTTCTGGCGAAATGTGTTCCCATTCAAATGCAGACCCATTTGCGATTTCGCGTTTTTTTGTTGCGTATGGTAACCGCGCTGGTATTTTCGTCAGACCCGTCACGAAATTCACCTCGGCAGAACCTTCGAGCATCACCAAGGCAGATCCAGCGAGCTGCCACTCCTAGAGATCCACAAGCTAGGATCGCAGCTAGAAACCATAGACAAGCAGACTTACAAATGAAGCAGGTGCGAGGCTCCTAGATGGAGGCGTGAATGTTGGGAGTAGTCGAAATAAGTACCTCTCGATCTTCATCTCTTCTTGAATCGCGAGCCCGTACTTCCCGTTCATCTTTAGAAATCAGCGTCTAGATTAGGACCAACTGCTCGATCTCGCAGTATGAAGCGCACGAGTATATGCTCTCTTCCGACTCACCTCCTTGTCAAGATTTTATGGCACTCCAACCAGCCTATATCTGGCGATTTTGAGGATGACGCTTATGAGTGCTTGAGTCCGAAGCCAAGGCGCTACGGTGGATTACCTGAGAACAGCATCACTCCCATACCCGCGCCTCCTGCTTCCGCGGACACCGCGTGGAATCTCCTTGTAGCTTCCGTCTGCCGTGACTGGCGCGATCTCGCTCGGCGACACGTCAGCAACCTTTCTGTTCGAAAGGATCTACTTGTTTCCCGCCAAGATCTCGCCAACGCCATCACTCGCTTCCCGAATCTGACCCATATTCATCTGAGCGACGGCAGCGTGGAGATGGTAGACGACGCCTTTCTCGCCCACCTCGCCTCCGCTTGCCCTAAGCTCAGGGTTCTTCACGTGGGAATCAGGATCAACCAATATTATGACGACGAGAGCACCCACCCAGGGGATTCGCATCCAATAACTGCAGCGGGTCTAGATCGGTTCTTTACCCAATGTCCACGACTGGAGGAGCTTTCCCTCTTCTGCCTGCACAAAGATGTTAATCTGCCACCTTCCTTCTTCCTACTGACTCATCTGCGCACCCTCCTTCTCGCGACCGCATCTGCACTAGGGGCTCCCGGTTTAGCCAATCTCACTTCGCTCTCCACTCTCCACATAGCCTCGCCGAACATCAGCCATGAGCAATTCCTAGGCCTCCGTCACCTCTCAAACCTCAACAGTCTTTCTATATCTCCTCAGCATGATGCCAACTCCTCTTCATCCCCATCTCTAATCCTACCTTCTCTGAGGTCATTGGAAGTCAATGGGCGCAGCCATGCGTTCCACAGCTTTTTTCCTCCAATCCGTCTAGGCACCAATCTCCAACGGCTGGAAATTCGCTCCGTTAATGGTATTGCGCGTCTCCCCCGTGCCATTGGAGAGTTGGTGCCGTGTCTGCGGGAGTTGGAGCTTTCCTTTTGCCAGCACTTGACCGAGCTGCCAGATGAGTTGACCTCCCTCAGACGGTTAGAGAAAGTGCGCATCTCTTCTTGCGAGGTGCTTTCGAGGCTTCCAAGAAACTTGGGAGCGCTGCCGGCTCTCACACAGTTGGAGCTGTACTTGGTGCCGCTCACACACCTCCCTGACTCCCTCTGCCAGCTCACATCGCTGAATTTTTTCTCTTTCCTCAATTGCCAAATGGTACAGCAGCTGCCAGCGGGATTCAGCCGCCTTACTGCTCTGGAGACACTGTATCTTGGGCAGTCGCGGGTGTTGATGTATCCAGACGACATCGGAAGGCTCAGTAATCTGAAAACGCTTCTCCTGGAAGGGAATTGCGAGGCGCAGCGGCTGCTCCCATCTTCCTTGACGGAACTCTCTGCCTTGACCAGGCTTGAGCTCAAGCTCTTTCAGTTTGCAGAACTTCCTGAGGACATAGGGATGCTGAGTAACCTGCAGCACCTGCACATATGCTCCTGCTTTGATCTGACGGCGCTTCCAGACTCCTCCTCACGTCTCACTGCATTGGAGATCCTAAGGATGGATGGTTTTCAGCAGCTCTCTTCAGTTCCAAGGTTGGATGCTCTCACGAGACTGAAGCGGCTGGAGCTGATTGATGGTTTTAACAGAAGGCTGGCTGACCCTCCTGCATCCCTCCCCCCCTCTCTGGAGATCTTAGCCATGCCGAGTTACAGCCAGCTTGCTCCTCGCTTCGACATGCCCAAAATGCCACACCTGAGGAATCTCGAGCTCAGAAATATTGGTTCTGGAAGCAGCCTTGCACTTGCCATGGGTGCATCTCGACTGAGGCGACTCAAGTTGCAAATAGCGGGAGATGCTGAGGTTCTCCCCTCACCCTTTCCAGTCCTCCCGCACCTCCACACCTTGCTTCTTTTGGGATCTCCCAATCTCTTTGAGGATTACGCGGATCTGGCGAGGCTGCCCGAATGCATTGGATCGTTTGTGCTGCAGCTGAGGAGGCTGAAAGTTGAAGAGTTATCTTTGAGAGAGCTGCCGGCAAGCGTGTGTGAGCTGCAGTGTTTGACGTCGTTGGAGATTAGACGGTCCGGGCTGGTGTGTCTCCCTGCTGGCATCAGTGCGTTGACTCGGCTGTGCAAGCTCGATGTGTCTGGTTGCAGGGCCCTGCAGCACCTGCCTGCTTCCCTCACCCAGCTCACATGCCTGGATGCTTCATACACCGGCATCCTCTCGCTCCCTTCCGGGTTCGCTAGACTGGCCAGACTAAGACGACTCACTCTGAATGGCTGTGAGCATTTGGAAGCGCTGCCGCATGATGTGACAGAGCTGAGGATGCTGCGCTACCTGGGTGTGAGGGATTGCACGCACGTGCTTGACAGGGAAGACAAGGTACAGCCTGATGGCGTGTACAGCATGTATGGGCTGGAGGTGGATGATGAAAGGACCATGTACCGCCGGGTAGCTTAAAAGGGATAATGTTGGGGTGGTTCTCAGTTGCTTGAGATATACCGTACAAGATGATTTTGTTGCTGTTGTTTGTTTTTTTACTAAAAAAAAATGCTTGTTGCTGAGGAATACCGTAACTCCTGTCATGCCCTGCCCTCTGCAGACGTCATTCAGTTGCACATACAGATGCTCCCAGGCTTTGTTTCTGGGCCTGTAGGTGGATGTTACTAAGGCAACACTGTACTGTAATGTGTTTCTGTTGAGACCCCATCATTCCCCGCAGCCCCATGTCACCTTGGTTATGTTTGGAATGTTGGGTTGGGTTGGGTTGGGTGTGTTGGTGATTGATTGGATTCAATAAATAAAATAAACAATCAGGGACAAGAATAGAGGCATGGCGGATGGTTAGCAGAGACGAGCAGCAGCCTATCCCCAACCACGTCTATGGCTGGGTGCAGCAGCCCATTCACCCGCCTGCCCACCACCCCCACCAGCCTCCGCTCCTCCACTGTCTCCCCCTCGCTCCTCACACTGCCCACTCCACCACCACCGCCACCGCCGTCACACACCATGGCCCTCGCAACACCGTCCTGCCCCCCTTCACCCTCCCGCCCATCCACACCCTCCTCTGTCTCATACGCCTCCTCTCTTCCATAATCGCTCTCTCTACCCTGCTCCCCCTCACTGCCGGGTGTGCCCTCAGACCCCTCAGCAGCACCGCTGTGCCATGCCCGGGAACGGAGCACCACAGCTGCTTCTTGCTCTGCCCCTCCGCCCTCTCTCCCTGTCACCACCGCACCGCACTCAACCGCTCTCTGCACAGGGGCTTGCGTGTCCGCTGCTGCCACTCCCGCCATCACACTCCCACACCTGCCTCTATCTTCCCTCCCCTGCCCTGCCCTTTGCTGCAGGCAACCCCGCCCCCGCACCTCATAACCCCCATCCCCGCCCGCGCGCCTGCCTGCCTCCGCTCCTCCGCCCCGCTGTGCCGCCCGGTGCAGGCGGAACACGTGCACGCCGCCCGCATGCAGCGCAAACAGCCGCCCGGCGTGCACGCGCACGGCGAGCAGCGGCCCTCTGCTGGCGCGCGGCACGTGCGCGTCCAGGTGGTACCGCTCGCGCTCACGCCCCGTGCTGCACTCTATGCGCTGTGGACAAGGGGATAGAGGGAGGATGGGGTGGGAGGGGGGCAGTGGAGGGGAGATGGAGTGGGGGAGGGGCGGAATGGTAGCTGCAGTGGCGGAAGGAGTTGGTGGTGCACTCACCTGCACGGCGGCAAAGTCTTCATGCGGCAGCGACGGCAGCGCCACAAAGAGAGATGTACCCGCGAAACACATGACGTCTGGCGGAGGGAGCGGTGGGGGAGGTGGAAAGGTGAGAAGATGGCGATGAGCGAGGGGCGGGGATGAGTGGGGGGCGGGGATGAGTGGCGGGCGGGGATGAGTGGGGGCGGGGATGAGTGGGGGGCGGGGATGAGTGGGGGGCGGGGATGAGTGGGGGGCGGGGATGAGTGGGGGGCGGGGATGAGTGGGGGCGGGGATGAGTGGGGGGCGGGGATGAGTGGGGGGCGGGGATGAGTGGGGGGCGGGGATGAGTGGGGGGCGGGGATGAGTGGGGGCCGGGGATGAGTGGGGGGGCGGGGATGAGTGGGGGCCGGGGATGAGTGGGGGGCGGGGATGAGTGGGGGGCGGGGATGAGTGGGGGGCGGGGATGAGTGGGGGCCGGGGATGAGTGGGGGGCGGGGATGAGTGGGGGCCGGGGATGAGTGGGGGGCGGGGATGAGTGGGGGGCGGGGATGAGTGGGGGCGGGGATGAGTGGGGGGCGGGGATGAGTGGGGGGCGGGGATGAGTGGGGGGCGGGGATGAGTGGGGGGCGGGGATGAGTGGGGGGCGGGGATGAGTGGGGGGCGGGGATGAGTGGGGGGCGGGGATGAGTGGGGGGCGGGGATGAGTGGGGGGCGGGGATGAGTGGGGGCCGGGGATGAGTGGGGGGCGGGGATGAGTGGGGGCCGGGGATGAGTGGGGGGCGGGGATGAGTGGGGGGCGGGGATGAGTGGGGGGCGGGGATGAGTGGGGGCCGGGGATGAGTGGGGGGCGGGGATGAGTGGGGGCCGGGGATGAGTGGGGGGCGGGGATGAGTGGGGGGCGGGGATGAGTGGGGGCCGGGGATGAGTGGGGGGCGGGGATGAGTGGGGGGCGGGTGAATGGCGTGGGGCGAGCGAGCAAAGGCTCAAACACGGGGTTCTGCAGCAAACGGATGTGCTGAATCCATGCATGCGCAGAGTACATGCACATGCACCATTCATGCAGATGCATACATGTGCACCATTCATGCAGATGCATACATGTGCACCATTCATGCAGATGCATACATGTGCACCATTCATGCAGATGCATACATGTGCACCATTCATGCATGCACATGCAGCAGGCGAGGGAAGGAGAGGGGTTTAACCTGGCGGGCGGGCATGGGAGGAGGGGATGCGGTGGAGGATGACCGCCGGGGTGCTCCAGTCCGCCAGGTACACTGCGCTTTCACATGCCACCGCACACGTCACTCCCTCGCCCCTCCTGCCATGCGCTCATGTTGCCACACCGCGAGGCACGCACGCCATGGGAGAGCACGGCAGCAGGGGGAGGACACAATGAGAAGAAGAAAAAAGGGATGTTGAGCAAATGGTGCAGCGATGGATGCAGCAGTGAGAGCGCAAGCAGCAGCACTGACAGCGAGGGGAAGAGGCGCTTGTTGCAGCGCCGCCCCGGCATGACAGCAACGGCACAGACACGCTCGGCCTCGCCCCACGGGTCCATGAGCTGCACGTGGTGAAACAGCACCGCCTCCCCCCCCGCCACGTGCCACAGCCCCACACTGCCGCCCTCCTCCACCACCACCAGGCGCTCCTCGTCCAGCCATAGAATGGGAGAGCAGCACACCATGCGCTCCACCGCGCCCTCCGTCTGCATGCTCACCGCCACGCCGCCGTCCCGCACGTCCCAGATGCGCACGTCGCTGCCGCCCGCCTGCACCATCGCCAGAGATGCACCGCATGGGGCGGCGTGCCACTCGGGCGGCGCGAGGTGCTTCCAGGATGGCGGTGCGGGCGGCAGAGGGTGGGCGGGCAGGTTGGGTGGGGAGGGGAGCGGGGACGGGTGCGGGGATGGGGCGGGGAGGGAGGCGGGTTGGGGGGTTGGCGGGGTGAGGGAGGGGGTCTCAGAGGCTGGTGGAGTGAGCGGCACTTTGCCGCCCTGTGGAGCAGCAGTGTGCTGCAGTGCGAGGCGGTGGTGCATGTGTGCTGGTTGGGGTGGGCAGCAGTGGTGTGCCGCTCGTGAGTGCAACTCAACACTGCTCTCCTCTGCTGCGCCCCTCCTCTCCGCATGCCCCCCTTCACCTGCACACCCCGTGCTGCCCCGCCCCACTGCACTGTCTGCGTGTACCGAGCTGCCTGCCACCGGCAGTGCGCCATGCCCTGACGCCTGCCTGCTACACCCGTGTCCTGCTGCAGCTGTATGAGGCAAGGCGCCTAGCGCGCTGCCATGCTGAAACGGGGCAGGGGAGGGTGGTGACGGCATGGCCGAGAGCATTGCTTGGGGTGCGCGCACTGCCCCCCCTGCTGTTGCTGTGGCCGTTTCTTGTGTGCCTGCTGGCTTAGGCACAGCAGCAGTAGGGGAAGCGGCGGGGGCAGGGGAGGCAGGAATGACGGGGGGGACAGGGGGGAGGGGTGCGTGGGGCGGTGGTGAAGTGGCATGGGGTGGCGAGTGGCTGCGGCAGGGTGAGTGGTGCGGCGGTGACTGATGGGGGAAGGAAGAGGGGCAGCAGGCGAATGCCATGTGGCACACAGGCGAGGGATGGGAGGACGTGCAGGGCGAGGAGAGTGGGGGGCAGCCTGTGGCTGTAGCAGTGGGCGGTGGTGGTGGTGCAGGTGAGGGCGCAGGTGAGGGCGCAGGTGAGGGCGCAGGTGAGGGCGCAGGTGAGGGCGCAGGTGAGGGCGCAGGTGAGGGCGCAGGTGAGGGCGCAGGTGAGGGCGCAGGTGAGGGCGCAGGTGAGGGCGCAGGTGAAAGCGCAGGTGAGGGCGCAGGTGAGTGCGCAGGTGAGGGCGAGAGCGAGGCGGTGGGCTTGGGAGGGGGGAAGCAGGAGACGAGGCGGGAGGAGAGGAGGTCCCAGCAGCAGAAGGCGGCGTGGGAGCGCGAGGTGGCGAGCAGCAGGCGCGCTGTGAGCCCATCGTGGGACGGCACCGCCACCACGTGGCACGCTGCTGCCTCTCCCAGCTGCACCCCTGGTGGTGGCCGGAACACTGCGCGCTGCTGATGGTGGTGACGCGGGTTGTGGGTGGGTGGGGCATGAGAGAGAGGACAGAGAGTGAGAGGAGAGTGGACAGATGAGAGAGAGGGAGATAAGAGCGGGGTGTTCCAAGAAGCAACGTGGTGTGGTAGTGCCTCACGTGCATTGCATTGCCACTCCACCTCTACTACCTCCCAACCCCCGTCAACCCGCCTGGTTACCACCCGCCGCCCATTACCTGTAGAGTGCTCGAGTCCAGCAGCACGCAGCACCCATCCCAACCTGCCAGCACCACACACTCCCCGTCGCTCCCCACGAATCGCCCCGCGGGGTAAATTCCCCATCCGCCCACCCGTACCCCCTCCTCTTCTCCGCATCCACCACGTGCCCCCCCGCCCTCCGCCCTCCCTCCGCCACTCTCACCCTTCTCTCCCCCCTGCTCTGCTCCTCCAAGCGCCGCTCCCCGCACGCCTGTTTCCGCAGCTCCCTGCCACCCGCGCTGCACGGGTTGCGGGCGGAAGCGCGGCGAGTCCCGCGCGGTGCAGGGGCGCTCGCAGTCCGACTCGTCGTCCGAGTCGAACCGCCAGCTGCAGAAGCGACACGCGCACGCGCCGCGACGCGCCGCATCCGGGTGCGGGGCCTGCCCGTCCGCCTGTCGCGCGGCCTCCGAGTCGCAACCGCAGTCGCCTCTGCCGCCAATGGGCTCCGCGCCACCCACCGCGTCGATGTCCGCGCGCGCTGCCGCGGCGGCAGCGCCCTCGTTGTCACGAACCCGCTGCCCCGCCTGGCGCTGGGCCTGCTGGGCTCCGCGGGCCGTGGGCGAGCGCGCGGGGGAATGGACGCACGGCGAGGTACGGGCGGCCTGGTTGCCTGCCGGCGCTTGTCCTCGCCACGCCTCGCACTCGCATGGTGACGTGTCGCCGACGCTACCGTGCTGATTTGGACGTTGCTGGGCGTTTCTACTAGTGCGGGGCGATTCGTGCGAGGCGCAATGGCGAGGCGTCACTCGTGACACTGCAGCTTCTCCTCCCTCGTAGGGATCTCGCCGTCGCCTCTTCATTCGCTAACCTGCTCTAATGCTGTCACCCTCGAGCGTTGTAATCGCTGTAGCGATGTGCTTGCGCACGGCATGACTGGCTATGTGTGGATGCGAGGAAATGGTTCTGTCGTGCGAGCGCAGGAACATTGAGGCGACACGTCACCTGTTTCGAGCGAGTATGGTATGGGTGATGATAGTTGCTCGTTACAAGTGCACCTGAACAAGCTAACGAGAATTGCACCTACCGAGGTACATGAAAGATACACTGTGAACAAAGGCTTTAATTAATATTTTTGTCTACGCATAACATTGTTGCGTACTGAAATATGAACAAAGGCTTGAAAAATGGCACTGAAAGGCCACATTTGCCAGGGGCGCCCGGCACCCTATCTGTTCCCCACTGCCAGGGGCGCCCGGCCTGCTGCTGCCCCCACGCGCTGCCCCCGCCTCTGCTGCCGCCTCGCGTTGTCTGCCTCGAAGTGTGCCAACGCTGCATCCAGACTCTGGTAGGTGTAGGTGCGGTGCAATCAGGCCACCCGCAGGGCGAGGTGGTGGTGGTGGTGGGAGGGGACGGGAGGGACGGGAGGGCGACGGGATAAAGGGGAGAGGGAAAAGCAGCGAGGCGCGAGGGGTGAAGAGCAGGGAGGTAGCTTGAGAGGTGCCTCTCCTGCGCTGCACGCGAGTGTCCATGGGACCATGGCCCTTGCCGTACACGTGCTCACTTTGACCGCCTGGCCTTCTATAGTGCGCCACTGCTGCATCCTCTGCCGCATGAACAGGTGGGGTCGAAAGAGGGGTGTGGGGGCTGCTGGAAGGAAGAAGAACGAAAGAGAAGTGGCGGAATAATGGAGGGAACTAGCAAGTGCACCTGGAAGAAGGGCTGTAGCAGCAAGTGCACCTGGAAGAAGGGCTGTAGCAGCAAGTGCACCTGGAAGAAGGGCTGTAGCAGCAAGTGCACCTGGAAGAAGGGCTGTAGCAGCAAGTGCACCTGGAAGAAGGGCTGTAGCAGCAAGTGCACCTGGAAGAACGGCTGTAGCAGCAAGTGCACCTGGAAGAAGGGCTGTAGCAGCAAGTGCACCTGGAAGAAGGGCTGTAGCAGCAAGTGCACCTGGAAGAAGGGCTGTAGCAGCAAGTGCACCTGGAAGAACGGCTGTAGCAGCAAGTGCACCTGGAAGAAGGGCTGTAGCAGCAAGTGCACCTGGAAGAAGGGCTGTAGCAGCTGTGAAAGCAGGTGGCGGTTCGCCCCGTCTGCTCCATCCTTCAGTTTCTGCACTCGGGAGGTGGGGAAAGGTGGAGAGGAAAACAGGAAAAGGTGACATGGGTGTTTGGGGAAGGAGGATACAGAAGGGAAATGGGGAAGAACAGGGAGCAAGCATCAGAAGCAGAGCAGCGGGGCGAAGAGTGGGGAGGCCGAAGCAGCAATTGCAGCAGGCAGTGAGTAGTGAGGAGGTGAGTGACCTGCAGGCGATCGTACAGCTTGCTGATGCCCTCCTTGTGCCGCTCCGCCTGGCGGCCATGTGGGTGGGGCAGGGGTGGTGGCGCACATGGGGTGAGGGGAGGTGGGGTGAGAAGTGAGGGCGTAAGCCTGCACATCAATAAGGTGGCCTACATTAGTGACTTGTGCTCCAGGATGGCAGCATGCAAGTAGAAGAAGAGATAATTTACGCCCTCACTTGCTAAGCAGCATGCAGCAAGAAGCTTTACCCCCTGTGCTAATTTACAAGAGTAGACAGGTCTGCGGCACATTTAGATCTGGTTTGAACTTCCCCGCGATTGTTGCACCAGATCGAATTTAGACAAAACTTGCAAAAATCTTGGTACAAAAAAAGTCATATTTTTAGAGCTCATATTATCTCGTTAAGGCTCAGGTAGTCAAAGGGGATGCGGCAAAGGGGGGCAAGGCGAGTGGGCAGGAAGTGGGGTGGGGTGGGGTGGGGAAGGGTGGGTGGGGTGAGCATACCTTGGAGAGCAAGGCGGTGCTGGTGAGGGGGTAGGTGGCCCAGAAGTGTGAGAGCAGCTCCTTCACTGCCTCCCCGTGCTGCGCGATGGGGGCGTGGGGTGGTGGGAGCATGCATGCGACATATGGGGTGATGAGGGCATGCATGCAGCACATGGGACATGGGGGATATGGGAAGCAAGCACAACAAATGGGTTCCTCCATCCATAGAGGCATGGCACGATATGCCACGCAACATGCGCACTGTCTCTGTCTCCCCCCCCTTTCTGCCCTGCTTTCCAGTGCTGCATGGGACAGCTTGACATGGCATGTAACGGCATGGCACAGGTTGACATGGCATGTAACGGCATGGCACAGGTTGACATGGCATGTAACGGCATGGCACAGGTTGACATGGCATGTCAAGCTGTCCCGTGCCGATACATGGCATGTCAAGCTGTCCCGTGGCGTTGGAGTACGAGGGAGCGGCGTGGCACCCACCGCAAGCAGGGAAGTGCGCAGGGCGTCAGGCAGCTGCTTCAGCAGCGACTGCTCCGCCGCCTCCCCCACTCCCCGCCGTGCCACCGCCACCTGCCGCCCAAACTCCTCCACCTCCTGCCGCCCGGTGGGTGGTGTGGGATGGGGAGGGGTGGGGGGGGGTGGGGAGCCCTGGGGTGAGGGAAGGGGTCTGCCAAGTGCAGTGAGTGGTGGGCACGAGTGGGTGGGAATGATGTGAGGGTGGTGACACTGCTGTACCATCCATGCTGCACCCATGCATCCTGCACCTTAACCTTTTCCCCACAACGCTTCTCACCTGAGCAGCAGCAGCAGGCGCCATCACTGCCGCTGCACCTCCCTTGCCCCCCCCACCCCGTTTTCCCTGCTCCCTGCTGCTGCCTCCGCTCCCCCCCCCTGCCAGTTCACTCCGAAACGCTGCCAGCGAGGCTGCCAGCGTGGCGTGCGTGCCAGCTGGCGCTGAGTCAGCGGCGGGTGCAGGGCCGTCCAAATCCATTGCATCTGGCGCAGCTGCCTGGCCCGCGTGCTGCTGTGTGTGCGCTGTGTCCCTCTGTGTGGCGGCATCAAAGTACTTGCGTGGGTCCTGCCGGGTGACGGGTGGAGAGGGGCGGATGAAAAGAGGGTTGTGTAAGTGCAGACGTGAGTGCGAAATTTGAATAGAGCAGGGGGGAAAAAGCAGAAAGGATACCGGAAAGAAGGTTTGGGTTTGGAGAAATGGACGGGTTTGGGTCAAGCTTTGTGACAACCAATGGCCCCCACTGAAAAGTTGAGGTCCACAATAATTGTGGCCAAGCAGATGAGCGCATGCCTGGATGGTGAGGGGGATGGGCATGCCTGGATGGTGAGGGGGATGGGCATGCCTGGATGGTGAGGGGGATGGGCATGCCTGGATGGTGAGGGGGATGGGCATGCCTGGATGGTGAGGGGGATGGGCGTGCCTGGATGGTGAGGGGGATGGTGGTGGGCGGGGCGTCCCCTCGGAGGTCCGCCATCACTGCCATCTCGCGCGCCCTCTCCCTCCTCCACTCCTCCTCCGCCCCCTGCTCCCCTCCCATGCCTGCTGTGAGGGAGAGGGGTGGATGGGTTTGTGAATGAGGGAGAAGGGGAGGTGTGAGGAAGCAGCGGAGGTGTGAGGAAGCAGGGGAGGTGTGAGAGAGCAGGGGTGATGCAGCAGGCGTGAGGACGAAATGCGAGGCGTGATGGAGCAGGGGCGCTGGGATTTTGCCAAAAAGAGCGCGAAGTGATGTTATTTAGAATGGCTTGCTTGCTGCGTTGTGTGCACCATAGCATGCCCGTTCCAGGCTCCAGCCAATGGGCCTGGAAAACAGCTCAGCTCAGTCATGCTCGGGTGTGTGCTCACCTCAGCTCTAGCCCACCTGAAACCCCTATGTATTCCTTCCCACACCACACACCTCTCTTCACTCGCCCACGACACATTTTCCTTCCACCCCCTTCATATTTTTTCGCCCTCTTCATCCCCCTCATGTCTCACCCCTCCCTCCACCCACCTCCCCAAAACCGCCCTCCCCCCACCCGTCCTACCCCACCTGCCCTCCCCCACCCGCCCTCCCCCAGCTGCCCTCCCCCACCCGCCCTCCCCCCACCCGTCCTACCCCACCTGCCCTCCCCCACCTCCCTCCCCCACCTGCCCTCCCCCACCTGCCCTCCCCCACCCGCCCTCCCCCACCTGCCCTCCCCCACCCGCCCTCCCCTGCCCTTCCCCCTTCCGCCCTCCCCCCCTCCCCCACCACACCCCCCAACCGACCAGCCTGGAGGGCGGTGGCCTCGGCAACAGCAGTGGCGAGCTCCCTCGTGTCCGCCACGTCCTCCTCTGCGCCGCCATTCACATGCATGGCGGGGAGAGGGGGGGAATGCGATGGGAGATGACACACACCGGGGGGAGGCAAGAACATGAAAGAAAGAACGAGAGGAAGGTAGGTTCACAATAGTTTCCGCCAAGTTGCCGTTCGATTCGTCTCTGCTCGACTTGTAGGTCTTACGGTCAGCGGGGGCATGGGGTGGAGACGACAGGCATGGGGGGCATGAGCAACACGAGAGACAGGAGGGAGGAGGGCGAGGGTGAGTGGGCGTACAGCCTGCGCCGCCCCTGTTAGACGCGCTCTGGTTGGTCGCACACGAGGAGAGACGGCGAGGGAGGGCAGGAGGACTCGTGTGAGACAAGGGATGGGGGAGAGGCGGGGAGCAAGCACAGGGGGGCGGGGGCACTCACGGAGCAGGCGGCCCTGCAGCACAACAGCGGCGTGCTGGTTGATGTCTCGGAATATCGTACGCCTCATGCGCACCTGCCCTTCCGCCCCCGCACCGCTGCTGCCACCACCACCACCAACAGCGCCACCAGCGCTGTTGCTCCTGCCCAACTGCCCGCCCGCACCTGCCCCCTCCTGCCCTGCTGTGCGCTCCTTCTCCCCCTCGCCCTCGCCCTCCACAACTGGTGCCTCCTTGCGCCCATCCCTCAGAATGCCGTGGCCCTGCCATGCCATGCCATGCACAGGGGTTACGCACGGAGGCACAGGGGTGGGGCACAGATGTGGGCTAAAGAGGTGGGAGTGGTATGGCGACGCGACAGCACCGCAAGCAGGCGTGCAAGCAAAGCACCCCTCGTCCTGCTGTGCCCCACAAAGCCCCACACAGCCTTTCAGCTCCTCGCATGCGTCCAACCTTCCCTAGGCACGCAGGCATAAGGGCCACGAACAGGCAGGAACACTGGCAGGCAAGCAGGCGAGCGAGCGAGCAGGCGAGCGGAGGGGCAGGTGGGGTAACACGCACGAGCAGGGAGGAGTAGTCGTCGCTGACGTCCGCCAGCACGTTGAGCGTTGGGTCCACGTGCTGCACCTGATGGTGGAGTGAGGAGGGGGGAGGAGGCCAGCATCCACACGCGAGGGGGATGAGGCGAGGGGGACGAGGCGAGGGGGATGAGGCGAGGGGGACGAGGCGAGGGGGATGAGGCGAGGGGGATGAGGCGAGGGGGACGAGGCGAGGGGGACGAGGCGAGGGGGACGAGGCGAGGGGGATGAGGCGAGGGGGATGAGGCGAGGGGGATGAGGCGAGGAGGATGAGGCGAGGAGGATGAGGCGAGGGGGATGAGGCGAGGGGGATGAGGCGAGGGGGATGAGGCGAGGGGGATGAGGCGAGGGGGATGAGGAGAGGGGGATGAGGCGAGGGGGATGAGGCGAGGGGGATGAGGCGAGGGGGATGAGGCGAGGGGGATGAGGCGAGGGGGATGAGGCGAGGGGGATGAGGCGAGGGGGATGAGGCGAGGGGGATGAGGCGAGGGGGATGAGGCGAGGGGGATGAGGCGAGAGGGATGAGGCGAGGGGGATGAGGCGAGGGGGATGAGGCGAGGGGGATGAGGCGAGGGGGATGAGGCGAGGGGGATGAGGCGAGGGGGATGAGGCGAGGGGGATGAGGCGAGGGGGATGAGGCGAGGGGGATGAGGCGAGGGGGATGAGGCGAGGGGGATGAGGCGAGAGGGATGAGGCGAGGGGGATGAGGCGAGGGGGAAGACGCAGTGGGCAGGCAACGGGAAGAGGCGAGAGCCATAAGGCGATTGACGGCAAGCGGCAGGGTAGGGAGGGGGATGTTGGGAGAATAGGCGGGAAGAGGGCTTTGCAAACAAATGGGGCGACCGCAACAGAAGGAGCAAGGGGGGCGGGCGCGTGGGCAGAGAGGGTGGCGGGTGGGCAGAGAGGGTGGCGGGTGGGCACCTTTTGGCGCGCCTGGGCGTGCAGGTGGGGGTCGTCCCTCACGAAGAGCGCCAGCTCGTCATCATCCGCCGCCTCCGCCTCCGCCGCCGCCACGTTGCGCGTGCGAAAGAGGTACTCCGCGCGGTAGTACTTGCCCCAAAAGGCCTTCTCCGTCATCTGGGGGAAGGGGGGGAGAAGAGGGGTGGGAGGTGGGGGGAGGAGAGGGAAAGAGTAGGAGATGTGATCGCTTGCATAAAAGAGGTACTCCGCGCGGTAGTACTTGCCCCAAAAGGCCTTCTCCGTCATCTGATGGTGGGGGGGAGGGGGAGGGAGGAGGGAGGAGGGGGAGGGGGGGGGGGGAGTGAGGGTCCTGACAGCTCGCATGGAAGAGGTACTCCGCCCCGGTAGTCCTTGCTCCAGAACGCCTTCTCGCTCACCTGGTGGAGGGGGTGGTGTGGGTGAGGAGGGGGAGAGTGGGAGGGAGATGTGATCGTGTGCATGGAAGAGATACTCCGCGCGGTGGTACTTGCCCCAACACGCCTTCTCCGTCACCTGAAGGGGAGAGGGGGAAGAAGATGGGGAGGTGGCGGGGAAAGAGGGGGGAGGAGAGGAGGGGGAGAGTGGGAGATGTGATAGCTTGCATGGAAGAGAATTGCCCGGTAGTACTTGCTCCTGGTGGTGTGTGTGTTGGGGGGGGGGAGGAGGGGAAGCGGGGAAGGGGGGGAGGTGGAGAGTGGGAGATGCAAGCACTGGCTTGCATGTGTGTGCATGTGTGTGTGCGTGTGTGTGTGCAATGACTCAATGTCAACCTGTTCATCAACATGCTTCGATGGATGGCAGTAACACCCCCCCTTGCTCCCACCCTCCCTGCATGCCAAATCCCCTCTTTGCCTCCCTCCCCCTCTCCCCCACCCCCCGCCACCCACCCGCCCGGGAACGAGCTCCATGAAGGCGCGGTGCACCGCTGGCTTCTCCAAGAAGATCTGCCACACCATGATGCCCACACAGCACAGCACCGCACCGCACAGTGAGATGGGATGATGCGTGCGCAGGGTGAGGAGTTGGTGGGGCACCAAGGATGGAGGGAGAAGGGGACACAGGGGAGCAGAGGCAGCGCGTGATAAATATAAAGGAGGGGCACATGCAGCGTGCATGATGAATGGGAGAGAAGCGAGGTTGGGAGACAAGAGAGCCTCGATATTAAGCGTGACATATAAAGAGGGCATTGGAGGGAACGAGTGCAGACCTGTTGGATGATCTGCGGCGTGAGGTTGAACGTGATGGTGTTGCTCTGTGGTGGGGGGATACGTGCACATGCACACACGGACACGCAAACACGCATGCATCCACGCACGTATGCACAGCAAGCATAGAGAAAAGAGCACGTGAGGAGAAGGTGAACCGTGGTCCATGAATGTGAGAGGCATGGGCGCAGGATGGCTGGTCCGCACTTAATCGGTGCGAGAGAGTGTGCTCATGCTCTCAGCTCCCATCGTTCGCTGGACTTGCTCATAGAGAACAGGATGCCACACCCTCATCTATCACTACAGCTTGCTGTAGCGTCCGCATCACATTTGAGCGTCAAAGTACGCGAAAGTCAATTTCGAATGTCAGCTAGGAGCAGCGATGCGGCTGCCATGCCCGACAAGAGCAGCCAGGCGAGAGCGGCTCAAACACACAGCGCGCCATGAGAAGGCCGCCATGCTGACCCCCACCCCTCCATTCCTCCTCCAGTGCACCCTACATGCCACCCACCCTGCCGTCTGCCAGACTGCCACCCATTCTGCCAGACTGCCACCCACCCGGCCATCAGTGACGCCTCTGACATCCGCCAGCATGGCACTCGCCACGCCCACCCGCTGCTTGCGCTTCCGCCGCTCCTCCTCCACTCCCTGCCATCCCCACGCCTCGCAACGCCACGCCACGCCACGCCATGCCATGCCATGCCATGCCACCCAGTGCAAATGGGGTGTTGGGATGGGGTGGTGGGATGGGCCGGGGCACGTTCACAGAGGGCGGAAGGATGAGGCGAGGGCAACAGTGAGAGGCGAGGGGATGATGAGCGAGGGGCGAGGGCAACAGTGAGAGGCGAGGGTGCTGCGAAGGGGTCGGCAGGCCCATCAGGAAAAGGTAGGAAGCGAGGCATCAATAGCTCCTGGCGGCCCACCCACCTTCCTGGCGGCCCACCCACCTTCCTGGCGGCCCAGAACTCGGACTCGGTGAGCGCGCCCGTCATGACCAGCTCCTGGTGCAGCCGCCTCAACTTGCTGCGTGCAGAGTAGAGCAGGGAGGGCACACGGCAGGGAGGGCACACGGCAGGGAGGGCACACGGCAGGGAGGGCACACGGCAGGGAGGGCACACGGCAGGGAGGGCACACGGCAGGGAGGGTACGGGTGAGCGCGGCTGTCATGACCAGCTCCCGATGCAGCCGCCTAAGCTTGCTGCTTGACCGTGCAGCACAGCGCAGGGCCACAGAGTAGGGATAGCACCCCCCCCAATCACCCCTGCATGCCCTCTCCCCTCCCCTCCCATCAAAACACGCACGCATCAGACTGGAGCATCTTCTGCCGGCGCTGCAGCTCTGCCGGGTCCAGCAGCTCCATTGCCACCGCACCAGGCAGCCTGGCCGGCAAGCACGGCGGCATGCCACGCACAGCCCCCGCACTAACCCCACTAACTGCTGCCGCTGCTGCAGTGGCAGCAGCTGCAGAAGCAGCGGCAGCGGCAGCGGCAGCGGCAGCGGCAGCGGCAGCGGCAGCATCGGCAGGGGGGAGGAGTGGTGAGGCGGAGGCGGAGGGAGCGGTGGACGGAGGAGTGGATGGGGTGGGGGCGCATGCTGGCGTGCTCTGGTACTTGGCCTGGTAGGCACCTGCCGTGATGCACGAGGGGTGGTGGGTCAGGTAAGTCACAACAACAGGTGGCGCAAGATGGCATGATGGCATGATGGCATGATGGCATGCTGGCATGATGGCATGATGGCATGATGGCATGATGGCATGATGGCATGATGGCATGATGGCATGATGGCATGATGGCATGATGGCATGATGCATGATGGCATGATGGCATGATGGCATGATGGGCATGATGGCATGATGGCATGATGGCATGATGGATGATGGCATGATGCATGATGGCATGATGGCATGATGGCATGATGGCATGATGGCATGATGCATGATGGCATGATGGCATGATGGCATGATGGCATGATGGCATGATGGCATGATGGCATGATGGCATGATGGCATGATGGCATGATGGCATGATGGCATGATGGCATGATGGCATGCTGGCATGATGGCATGATGGCATGATGGCATGATGGCATGATGGCATGATGGCATGATGGCATGATGGCATGATGGCATGATGGCATGATGGCATGATGGCATGATGGCATGATGGCATGATGGCATGATGGCATTGGCATGATGGCATGATGGCATGATGGCATGTGCATGATGGCATATGCATGGCATGATGGCATGATGGCATGATGGCATGATGGCATGATGGCATGATGGCATGATGGCATGATGGCATGATGGCATGATGGCATGATGGCATGATGGCATGATGGCATGATGGCATGATGGCATGATGGCATGATGGCATGATGGCATGATGGCATGATGGCATGATGGCATGATGGCATGATGGCATGATGGCATGATGGCATGATGGCATGATGGCATGATGGCATGATGGCATGATGGCATGATGGCATGATGGCATGATGGCATGATGGCATGATGGCATGATGGCATGATGGCATGATGGCATGATGGCATGATGGCATGATGGCATGATGGCATGATGGCATGATGGCATGATGGCATGATGGCATGATGGCATGATGGCATGATGGCATGATGGCATGATGGCATGATGGCATGATGGCATGATGGCATGATGGCATGATGGCATGATGGCATGATGGCATGATGGCATGATGGCATGATGGCATGATGGCATGATGGCATGATGGCATGATGGCATGATGGCATGATGGCATGATGGCATGATGGCATGATGGCATGATGGCATGATGGCATGATGGCATGATGGCATGATGGCATGATGGCATGATGGCATGATGGCATGATGGCATGATGGCATGATGGCATGATGGCATGATGGCATGATGGCATGATGGCATGATGGCATGATGGCATGATGGCATGATGGCATGATGGCATGATGGCATGATGGCATGATGGCATGATGGCATGATGGCATGATGGCATGATGGCATGATGGCATGATGGCATGATGGCATGATGGCATGATGGCATGATGGCATGATGGCATGATGGCATGATGGCATGATGGCATGATGGCATGATGGCATGATGGCATGATGGCATGATGGCATGATGGCATGATGGCATGATGGCATGATGGCATGATGGCATGATGGCATGATGGCATGATGGCATGATGGCATGATGGCATGATGGCATGATGGCATGATGGCATGATGGCAATGATGGCATGATGGCATGATGGCAGATGGCATGATGGCATGATGGCATGATGGCATGATGGCAGATGATGGCATGATGGCATGATGGCATGATGGGGCATGATGGCATGATGGCATGATGGCATGATGGCATGATGGCATGATGGCATGATGGCATGATGGCATGATGGCATGATGGCATGATGGCATGATGGCATGATGGCATGATGGCAATGATGGCATGATGGCATGATGGCAGATGGCATGATGGCATGTGGCATGATGGCAGGATGGCATGATGGCATGATGGCATGATGGCATGATGGCATGATGGCATGATGGCATGATGGCATGATGGCATGATGGCATGATGGCATGATGGCATGATGGCATGATGGCATGATGGCATGATGGCATGATGGCATGATGGCATGATGGCATGATGGCATGATGGCATGATGGCATGATGGCAATGATGGCATGATGGCATGATGGCATGATGGCATGATGGCATGATGGCATGATGGAATGATGGCATGATGGCATGATGGCATGATGGCATGATGGCATGATGGCATGATGGCATGATGGCATGATGGCATGATGGCATGATGGCATGATGGCATGATGGCATGATGGCATGATGGCATGATGGCATGATGGCATGATGGCATGATGGCATGATGGCATGATGGCATGATGGCATGATGGCATGATGGCATGATGGCATGATGGCATGATGGCATGATGGCATGATGGCATGATGGCATGATGGCATGATGGCATGATGGCATGATGGCATGATGGCATGATGGCATGATGGCATGATGGCATGATGGCATGATGGCATGATGGCATGATGGCATGATGGCATGATGGCATGATGGCATGATGGCATGATGGCATGATGGCATGATGGCATGATGGCATGATGGCATGATGGCATGATGGCATGATGGCATGATGGCATGATGGCATGATGGCATGATGGCATGATGGCATGATGGCATGATGGCATGATGGCATGATGGCATGATGGCATGATGGCATGGAATGCACTCATGGGGACCGACCGAGAGAATGGCGTCCATGCACAGAACGCAAACAGCCTGCCCTGGCTTGAGAAGAGCCGGCTCGGCTTAGACCTATGGTACCACATGCTACCATGGGGCGGATTTGCACGGTGGATGAGGAGAGCACAGGTTGAAAGGAGGTCAGACGAAAAGAGGTGGCGTGGGGAGTGGCTGAAAGTGTTGCAGGTGGCCGGAAAGAATGGGCTGGCAGGGTGACTTACTGTAGACGTCTCTTGCCTTGTCGCGATCAGCGAATGAGGAGAAAACAAACATGTAGCCGCCCTCTGCCTGTAGGGCACACATGAGAGACACACGCGTGCAGGTAAGTGCAGGGCACAGCACAGTTGATGTGGCTCACAGGCATGCCAGGGTGTGACTGAGGGGGGCGGATGGGGGCGTGACATGGGAGGAAGGGATGAGAACATGGGGATGAGCGGGTGGGAGGGGGAATGAGGGGATGAATGAGGGCAGAAAGGGGGTAAGGGGGATTGGGAGATGAGTGGGTGGGGGATTGAGGGGATGAGGACGTGAGGGGGTATGGGGTTGAAAGGGTGAGGGTTTTAGTTGGTTAGGGAGTAGGATGAGGAGGTGAGGGGGTATGTATGGGGTTGAAGGGGTGAGATCTTTGGTTGGTGACCGCGTGAGGGAGTGGGAGCATGATGGCGTGAGGGGACAAGCGTGTGGGGGGTTGAAAGGGAATGGCAGGGCACGCACAGCGGGGTCGGCATGGGGGCTGAACTTGAGCAGCGCTGTGGTGGCTGACGGCGTCTCCTTGCTCCACCTGTGCGCTGCATGCCCATGCATGCCATGCCATGCCATGCCGTGCGTGCGATGCCATGCCATGCCATGCCATGCCACACACACAGCACGCACACGTGCCACACACATGTGAGCAGTGACAAGGACCAAATGGAGAGCCCATGGCATGAGCGGGGAAGTACGAGGGCAGGGGAGGGCTGAGAGCGGAATGGCGGCAGCAGAGCAGAGACACGTGTAGAGTGGGCGATGGAGGCAAGGCAGGGGAAGGGGCTCCTCTCATACCACCCCCCCATGTATGCGCTCACTGGATGGTGGCATCAGGAGTCTCACACTTGATGCTGGCAAGAGGCACGTCGAGTCTTGCTGCTGCTGATGGGTTGGCGGGCACCCAGGAGAAGGACGTGGGGGTCTGCAGGCATGTGCAACGGGCACCAACACATGCATGCACGCACAAGCACATTTCCCCCCACACACACATGCGTAACAAGTAAGAAAGAGGGAGGGTGAGGGCGAGCGGTGAGGGCGAGCGCGGCGGGAATCCCCAGGGCTACAGCAGCCAAACAACCACACAAGCTTACCGCCGTAATCTCGCCGTCTCCAGCAGAACGTACCATGGTGATCACGCCGTCTGTGGCAGGGCCCTTGGCTGCCGGCTTGAGCTTGGCACGCGATGACAGCACCACCTCCATCGCAGCAACTGCTCTTGCCCCGCTAAAGCGCTCTCACATGCACCCAGCAAGTGAGGGCTTCGAAACAACCCCCCCCTAGTCAACGGAGTTCCGGACTGGTATGCGCTTTCCACCTATGAAGTAAACACCACCACCGCCACCGTAGAAACTTGAGGCTTGCTGCACACAGCTAGCTTGCTCTCACATGCACCCAGCTACTTCTGTTCCTGCCACACAGAACAAGGAGAGGGGAGGAAGGGAGGGGATGAAGGGCTGTCTGGAGTATGGGAGAGACAGTCGTTCACAAGTTGTGGCAGCAGTGACATCACTCATCTCTCACGCCACTCACTCCCCGTTCCCTTCCCTCACCTCCCCTCCCATCGCCTCCCCTCCCCTCTCTTGCCCCCGCCTCCCCTGCCCTGCCCTTCGCTGTGCCTGCCCTGCCATGCCCTGCCCTGCCCTGTCTTCCCCTACCCTCCCCCGCCCTGCCCTGTCCTCCCGTCCCCTGCCCTCCCTGACATCCCTACCCAATCCTTCCGTCTCTTCCCGCCCTGCCGTCCTTCCCCGCCTCTCGTCCCGTCCCTCTCCGTCCCGCTCCCCACTCGTTCCTTCCCGTCCTTACCCGCCCCTGCCCGTCCTGGCCCATTCACTCATCGCCCCGCCCTTCGATCCGTCGCGACCCCTCTCATTCCGTCCCATTCCATCGCATCCCGTTCCGTCCCCTCTCATCCCATTCCGTCCCGTCCCGCCGTCAAGTCCCACTGCCCCACCCGTCGCGTCCCCTCCCGTGCAATCCCGTTCCATTGCTTCCCATCCCATTCTGTCCCCTCTCGCCCCGCCCTTCCCGTGCCGTTGACCGTATCCTAATGCATGGCTTCGTTAAATACACCGAATAACACTGTAGTACGGATTGTACGAAAACGACTTGCGTATGTTCTAGCATACACTCGCCATGGCTCGCAAGTAGAAGAAACCCTTTGCTGAATGCGTTACAGAATTGCTCCTTGTACGATTCTGCCTCTTCGCGACCTCGGGTACTCCTTTATCACGTAATTCTATCGAGCTCTAACCTGGAAATTCAGGAATCGCCTGGCCTAGGGAGCAAAAAAACGACGACCTACCTTTCCTCTCTGTTATAGTTGAGGTGGCGTTTTTCTCCGTCTCATGCTTCAGCCCCAGTAAAACGTTCCTTGTGCTCAGTTCTCGCCTCTGCCCCATCTCATTGCTCTCTCTGCAGTCTGGCATCACGAATTCACAATCTCGCTCTTCGTTTTGCTGCTCTGTGAGGGTGGGACGGACCATTAGGGCTGAGGGCGTATTCATTTTGCCCAAACCAAGTAATGACTTTCGGAAAACTTATCCAACCCGAACGCCGTGCGAAAGGTGCAGTCAAACATGCCACATTCGATTTTTTTGCTAATGGGTGTTGAGAATCGAGGCAACCTGTGCGAAATCTGTGCTCATTTGATCGCCTAACTAGTTGCGCAGGGAATCCCCTCGCCAGCAGACTCATGCTCGCATGCTTGGGGATGTGCATTCGCCTCGACATTGACCCCAGACTCGAGCCGAGCTTTAAGCCTTCAGCAAATGTACCACGCCTTTATGTCCGCGGCTCTCTGCAATTGTAATTTGTGATTCCTTTGAGGCTCCAGATTCATCGCAGGTTTACGAAAAGATCGCGGGAACTCAACTCGGCGATTTCCTTCTCCCGCAATTTTGCGTGGACAATATTTTTCAATCGGCCCACCTTCTCCGAGCTGGTTTTAATCACCCGCAGATAGCCGGTTTCCTGTTCGAACGACTCCGCTTTAGCGCTACACACGGTTCTTATCTCGTCGACCCGCGCCATCCCCGCCGATGGCCGTCTCGACCGCCTCCGCGGCGCTGGCGCAGGGCGAATCGAACACGGCGGAGGCGGAAGCCTTGCGCCAGATCGGCGCAATGAAGGCGCTGCTAGCGCGCGCGGACGAAGAGATAAAATCCATCGCCTCCTGCGGCACCAGGGGGGGGGCGTCGCGCGCGCAGCTCCCCGCGCTGACGGCGGGCGCGCAGAACGCGCTGGCGGCGCTTGGGGGCGTGGAGCGGGAGTTGCGGTCACTGGCGGAAGAGATGGCGGAGGGCAACGAGTGCGCGGTTGGGGCCCGCGAGGAGGGCGGCGGAGGCGGAAGCGAAAGCTTTGCGCAGAGGTAGGCGGGTGACGAGTACGATCGGTGAGCGAGGGTAGAGAGAGTATCGATTGATGGGGGAGGAGATGGGGAGGAGGTGACAGGAAGGACGGGTGGACGGGAGGGAAGGGGGGCGCAGATGTCGCGCTCTAGACCTCGGTAGAATAACGGGAAGAGGGGCAGCGAGAGGGGCGCACGGGTGGGCAAGGCTGCCTTTAAAGAGTGAACGGGTAGGGGCTGCCGTTACCGGCGCTCCAAAGGCACCTGCCCCACCCACTTCCTTTCCATCTCCGCTTCTCCCCCTCCCCCAACCCCCTCCTCCTGTCACTCCCCCTCCCCCTCCCCGTCCCCCTCCCCTTCTCCCCCCCCAATTCCACCACCACTATCCCTACCACTCTGCTCAATTCTAATTCTCATCATCATCAATGAAACAGAAATTCATGTGTAGCTGCTCCCATTCTGCCTCACTGCGCTGATGTTAGCTGATCCACTCAAAAGGCTGAGAATTCGTTGTTAGCCTGCCTGCCAATGCCTGTACGGCTTCCTCACGCCCTCTCCCAGCTTCCTCACGCCCTCTCCCAGCTTCCTCTCGCCCCCTCCCAGCTTCCTCCTCCTTCTGCTGCTCCTCCTCCACCCCTTCCTATCTCCTCTCTTGTGTTCCATTCCCCTCCCCCTCACCCCCCTCCGCCTCACCACACCCTCCTGCCAGATTCCGACTGCCACTTGTGCCCCTGTAGGCCCTGCCTGCAGCATCTGGTAAGTCTCTGAGCCGCTCCTGCAGCGACTGAAGTGGGGGTCGCTGAGCCGTGCTCAGCCACGTCGAACAAAAGTTTCTTTCACTCCTCCGTCCCTCGTCTCTTTCATTGCCCCTCTCTCTTCCCAGAGCCTGTGTGGCAGCACAGCAACTGAAGTGGGGGTCTGTGGCAGCTTCTCAAGGCGCACGCGCAGACGCTGGGTAACCTTACGAGAATCTTACTTCTCCCTCAACTTCCCTCCTGCCTTTTCTTTGCCGTTCCATTCCCTCTTCCCAAACCCTCCCCCCCCCCCCCCCCCCCCCCCCCCCCCTCTCTCTCCCTCCCCCACAACCCCCACCCCCGCCTTCCCCTTTCCCTCAGAGTCCCCGTGTGGCAGCAGGTGCAGGCGGCCCTGCAGCAGCTGCACCAGGCGCATCCAGAGTAACCACCAGTGCTCCGCCTCCCTCCCTTCCCCCCTCCCTCCTTTATCCGTCCCTGCTCCACCTCCTCCTTCCGTCCCTCCCTCCCTCCCTCCCTCCCTCCCTCCCTCCCTCCCTCCCTCCCTCCCTCCCTCCCTCCCTCTCTCCCTCCCTCCCGCCCTCATTCCCTCTTGCCCTCCTTCCCTCCCTTCCTTCAACCCCACCCTCCCTCCTCCTTCCGTGCGCCACTCGCTTCCATCCTCCCGTGGCGCTGTTTTCCTTTTCTGTCTTTGCGTTGCCTTGCCCCATCGCACTACTGATTGGTGCTTCCTTTCAACCCGTCTCTGTTTCTCGCTCCCCCTCTCTCTATTCCTCGCTCCTCCCCGCTCTCTTCCTCGCACCACCACACAGAATCACGCTCTCTCTGCCATTTCTCACACTAGTTCTCCACACGCTCTCTCTGCCTTGCCATTATCCCCTCTCTGTTGCACCCTGCCCAACCGAACCCTTTTATTTCCGTCGAATCTCCAACCAGACTCCGGCAGCGGTTGCGCCACGCCACCATGACGGCTCAGCACAACCTCACGCGGCAAGCACACAAGGAGGTGGGGGCTCGTATCATGAGTGGGGTGTGGAGGAAGGGGGGAGGGGGGATGTGGTAAGGGTTGGCTGGTAACAAGAAAGGAGGTGGGGTTTAGTTGCATGAGGGAGAGTGAGGGTTGGTAGCACGAGGGAGGGTGGGAGTTGGTAGCACGAGGGAGGGTGGGTGGGGGTTGGGGTTCCTGAGTCGCTACAGCTGTACACACTTTGATATAACGCCGCTTCATCCCGCCGGTCCTCTAAACGAATGGCTCGTCTCATTGGAGGAGGTGGGGAGTCAGGGGTGGGTGGGATGCGAGTGAGTGAGAGTGGGACTCTGGGAGCAGCAAGTGAAGGATAGCTGCCATGACAGCTCGTTGTAAGTTATGTGGCGATCAAATTAGTGTCTGGGGCAGGTATGGCAAAGATGGTGACACAGAACGAGCCCTCTGGCTGCGATGCGTTTCCCTCTAGCTGAAAATGACCCCTCGTGGCACATCACCACTTCTTCTTCCCACGCTTTTCATTCTGCTTTCATGGAATGGTTGCCTGTGTGTGTGCAAGCACATGGATTCTATTATGGGATCTGGGGGTGAATGAGAAGGCTGGCTGTGTGGTGGATGGAGGCGTTGGTTGACACGTGAAGCGGGCATGAGTGCATGTGTGGTTGGTCGTGACGCTTTGGTGTCATCGTATCCTCCTCTTGTCCATGTGCTGTGCTGTTCATGTGCGCATGTGGGAACAGAGAGAGGAGCTGCTAGGGGCAGGACGAGAGGCATTGTTGCGGCGAAGAAAACTAGAGTGCGTACCCCCTTTCATCCTTCCTATTCCCTCTTATTCCCTCTCATTCTCAAATATATATACCATCTTATGCCATCTCATACCCTCTCATACCCTCTGATACCCGCCCATACCCTCTCATCCCTCTCATACCCTCTCATACCCTCTGATACCCGCCCATACCCTCTCATCCCTCTCATACCCTCTCATACCATCTCATACCATCTCATACTCTCTCATAATCTCTCGTACTCCGCCTGTCATACCCTCTCGTATTCTCTCATTGCCTCCCATTCTCTCTCATCACCAGCATGCCTCACGTGTGTGCCACTGTGTCTCTGCCTCCACGTCGATTTGGAAAATCAAAGGAACATGCATTCTTGTGTGCTCTGGCTTTCGTGCTTTCATCTTGCGTCCTTGTGCCATGTGTGCTTTTATTGCATGTGCTTGTATTGCATGTGCTTGTATCGCATGTGCTTGTATCGCATGTGCTTGTATCACATATTGAATCAGATCAGCAGCACAGATGGCGGCAGCAGCTGAGGAGGTCACTTCCACGCTCCGACGAACGCGACACGTCATGGAACAGGTAAGTTGATGACGTGGCAGGAACAGGTAGGATGGTGACGTGGCGGCAGGAACATGTGGGATGATGACATGGCAGGAACAGGTGGGATGATGACGTGGCAGGAACAGGTGGGATGATGACGTGGCAGGAACAGGTGGGATGCTGATGTGGCAGGAACAGGTGAGATGGTGTCGTGGCAGGAACAGGTGGGATGGAATGATAGGCGTGGATGGTAATGGGTGAGATTATGACTTAGCTGGAGCAGTGACGTGGCATGGAACAGTTGGGGATGATGATGATGTGGCATGGATCGGTTGGGATGACAAAGTAGAATTGTCTTCATCCGGTCCATGGAGCGCCGCATGGTGCCGCTCCGCCGCGTTGAGGCCAGTGCGGCTAACTCGCGAGCCGGCGATGTTGGCCGCTGTCTCCCACGTGTGGCGAATTATGAGTCGAGCACGTGTCGTGTCACGGTGAGCCGCGCGCCGTGGCTTGCGGGGGCTGGATGGTCCGCGGAGCAGATCCTTCGCTGACAGTGTTGGTGAAGCTCAAGGATGAGCGGACTGCAAAGCCTGTAACTGAGCCAGCAGAACACTACTAGTGACGAGTGATTTCTTCTCCCAGAAATGAAGGGTGAGGAGAACTAAGGTGGAGTGAGGAAGCTGGGCAAGAAAAGGCTACTTTCTGCCACAGGTTTGCCCCTTTGTTACTACCGCACGCTGTGGAGTTGAGGAAGCCGCGAGGTAAAGAAAAAGGTAAGGAAGTTGGCAACAGAGGAAGAGCACGAAAGAAATTCGTGAAATTGAGCTAGCATTGGCACAACAAGAAGGATGAGGTCGGGGGGATGGGGGTGGTGTACCCGTCTCCAACCACAACGTCGTTTCTTCCAACCACTTCCTGCCAACCACACCTTGAAATCAAGTCAACCATCTCATATCATGGTTGGGCGAGGACTGTCGTGGATAGGGTTTTACAGTAGAGGGCTGTGGTTGAGATTGAGGATAGGCTAATGGTTGGCCTGTTTTCAGGGATGGCACGTGTGGATCAGGGATGGCACGTGTGGATCAGGGATGGCACGTGTGGATCAAGGATGGCATGTGTGGATCACGGATGGCACGTGTGGATCAGGGATGGCATGTGTGGATCAAGGATGGCACGTGTGGATCAGGGATGGCATGTGTGGATCAGGGATGGCACGTGTGGATCAGGGATGGCATGTGTGGATCAGGGAGTGGTTGGAAGGAAGTGGCTGGCTTGAGGAGACGGACAAAAATCGGACGACGGCGGAATGAAACAATTTGGGCAATGTTGATGTGGGCGGAGTTTTTTTTTTTTTTTTTTTTTTTTTTTTTTTTGGGTGCAAATATATTATCAAATATAGATACATCCGCAGTCGTAACTGTATATCTTGGAGGGCCTAGGCAACGCCACGTGGGCGCCGCACTACCCCCCTGTGGCATGCTACGGAGGCTGGTGTAGGGTGCGCGGGTTGCGCCAGATAGAAAGGAAGGGGGCCGCCCAGTTTGTTGGCCCACCTGCCCCGCAGATCCTCTGAAGCTGCTTCCTCTCGTCCGCCGTCACTTGGCTCCAGTTGTCAACCTTCCAGAAACTTCCCCCTTCGCCTGCTGCTGCCGCTTTTCCCCTTGATGCCAGCACTATCCTCGCATGCGTCATGAAATCCAGCACAGCGCGTCTCCCCACCTTCTTCCTTTCGAAGGGAGCTGCGCGCCAAATAGCATCACACCGTGCCAACCATATCTGCCTAATCACCACCGATGTCAACGTCATCTCCGGAAAAACTGACGCCGTGCCCCCTTCCCCGAACAGTAGATCCCCCAGACAGCTCACCGACCTGTCCGGATTCAGCATGCGTAATGCCCGCTTAAGCGCACCGATGACTGGCTGTATGACCGGGCAACTGTAGAGGCAGTGCGCTAGGGTTTCGTCTTCTCCACAGTGCACGCAAGCGATCCTGTTGTGGCAGAAATGCAGCCTTCCCCCAACCTGGAGGTTCATGCTGTGAGTCCCGAGCAGGACATCACTCGCCTTGTTCGGCACACATATCGAGTCCCGGATCTCAATGTCCTTTCGCCAGTCAATCTTTTTGCCCCACACATCTTCCCACTCCGCCCGTCTCCAAGAACGCCCTGTCGATTTGGTTAGAGCAGCTCTTACACTGCGCAGCGGCACCAGTTCTCCTCCAGCGAAAAGCCCCGGCTGAGACAACAGCCGCACTTTCGGGTCGCCCACTGGCCCTACCAGAAAACCCTTCTGAACCGCCATCGGCTGGAGCATACACGCCTCGAAACACGTTCTCCTCGCCCGCGCCTGAGTTTCTACCTTCCCGTCCTCGCTGAGGGACATGTTGGATGTGCTGACCTTCGTGCCTTCCACCCCTTCCACCGCCCATATGGGCCTGGTCGGCTGTCCGTGTAGGATGCACCTCACCACTCCTGACGCCTTCACCACAGCTTCAGCTGTCGCCGGTTCCTCAATCAAAATTCTCCATTCTGGCGGCATAGCCCCATATGCTTTTCTTGCCATGACCGCCGCCTCTTTGCTTCCGAGCTCTATTATCAATTCGTCTTCCCCTTTCACCCCTCTTCGTCCCCCCGGGCCGTCCGTGAGCAGGTCACGTACCCGCGTGGTGATGAGAGCCGCTGTGCCTATCTGGTGACCGAAAGGACTGTCTCCCCGATGCATGATGCTCTTGTTGAAACAGATAAACTCCTCCTCCACTTCCCATCTATTCTTTGGCGCCGGCAGCGTCGCCAACGGTGACGACCAGAACACCTTTACTGCCGCCTTCCAACGTTCACTGCCACGTGGCCAGTGCTTTATTGCCGACGGGTGCGCGTACAACGTGGCCAGCCCTTGCGGGAGAGCTGCCGCCTTTTCCGCCAGCCAACGGCGTGTACCACCCGGCTCTTTCAGAAACTTCCCGACCCTGCGAATCGCCAACCCGTCCAAGCAAAGCTTTGGGTCCAGCTGCCCCAGGCCCCCATCTTTCCGCGGCAGACACGCCAGGTACGCACTCCACAGGATAAAAATTTTCTCCTCAGCCGCTTCCCCAGCCGATACAAACGCATGACAGAGCTTCCTGATTTTCTCCCACATCTCTTCCGGCGGCGAGTAAACTTGAGCCTGAAACATCAAGACCGGTAGAACGTAGCAGCTAATCACTGCCACTCTTGCTGTTGTCGTGAGATACTGAGCTTCCCATTTCCTCAGCTCCTCCTTTATCCTTTCATACGCCCTCCCCCAGGAAGGACCCGGGTCCCCGTTGGGTGTTATCCACACCCCCAGAAGCCTCTCCGGTTCTCCCTGCACCGACCATTTGTACGGGATGTCCGCCGGCTCTGGCTCTCCTCTGTTGCTCCCCAGCGGCACAACCACCGACTTGTCACAATTCACCTTCAGCCCCGACTGCTTCCCGAAGGTGTCCAGAACTTCCACGGCCCTCCGCAGTTGGGCTTCCCCACTCAGCAAGAAGGATGTGTCATCAGCGTACCCCACGTACGCGAGCGGCTCTTCTCCAACCGGTCCGATTCCCAGTCCTTCCCGCTCTGTGGCTCTACACAGCGGCTCGAGTGCGCAGAGAAACAGGTATGGCGCCAAAGGGCACCCCTGCCTGACCCCTCTGCACATCTCCACCCTGTCGCTTAACCATCCGTTTATGATGACCCTTGTTCCTGCTTCTGCGTGCAGCCCTCTGGGCGGAGTTGTGTGTGCGGATGATCCTTGAACTACAGTCCGGAGGTGTGTGCGCTCATTCTCTTCTCCACTGCACTCTCCTCCTCATCGCACCACCTCTTTATCCAATGTTGTCATTGTTTTCCCTCTCTTGACCGTGATGATGGCATGGCATGGCATGGCATGGCATGGCATGATATTGCATTGCAATCCATGGCATGGCAGGAGGTGCAACGTGGCGTGCACACATTGGAGGAACTCGGTGAGTTGATGTGGCCCTGGTATCAGCTCCTTTGGATGGGCACTGGTCACCCATTCACACTGCCTCGTGCATTCCTCTCCCTCCATTCTTCTGATGTCACTGCTTGTTTCAATGCGTTTCTGCCGCGTCTCATCTGCCGGCCCTAGCTTTCATATCTGCTCCTTTCTCTCATCTACCATCTCTTTTAGAGTAACCCTGTACACACTTTCTTTCTTCCTCTCCCAGCCGTGTTTTCAACCAAGACACACGCGTCAGCCGCTGTGACCTTCTCACCGCCTCACAGCACCTCCCAGCACCACACAGCACCCCCTCCAATACTCCTGCCATCCAACCAACACCCCACCTTCCTCCCTTCTTTCCCTCCCTTCTTCTGACCCCACCCACTGTCCAATGCAGACACGTCAGCAGCAGTGCTGACGTCAGCAGGATCGCAGTACTCTCTGCAGCACTCGCGCCTCTCCACGGCCCACCAGCTGCTGGCGCTGCTGCAGCGAGGGGACGTGACGGACAGGTGAGGGGGAGAGGAATAGGGGGAAGAGGCGTACAGTAGTATAGGGGAGAGCAGCGAGTGGGTTTGGGTTGTGTTTTGCACTACTCCTTACAATGCTCCCGTCTCTCCATGTCTCACCTGCTGCTGGCGCTGCTGCAGCGAGGGGACGTGACGGGCATTTGAGATGGTGAGGGGGATGGGGGGGAGTGAGCAGAGGTGAATAATGGTATAGGGGTTGTGTTGGGTGGGTGGGTGGGTTTGATTAAGTGGGTAGATGGGTGGCTGTGGGTGGGTGGGTGTGCTATACACACTATTCCCTGCAATGCTCCCGCCGCCCCACGAGTCATGACGCTGGCTCTGTGATGGGGAGGCGATGTGGTGGGGAGGTGATGTGATGGGGAGGCGATGTGATGGGGAGGCGATGTGATGGGGAGGCGATGTGATGGGGAGGCGATGTGATGGGGGGGCGATGTGATGGGGGGGCGATGTGACGGATAAGTGAGGTGGAGAGGGCAGGATGGTGGGATCCGGGGAAGGTAAAGGAGGGTGTAAGAGGTCGGATGAGAACGACTCCCACCTCTTTTCTGCTCACCGGCTGCTGGGTCTGTGCTGGGGGGGCGAGGTGACGGACAAGTGAGGTGGAGAGAGCGGGGCAGCACAGTGGATCCAAGGGGTCAGACTGACCCGTCCCTTCCCTTGCACCAAGTGCTGGCCGTGTTGCTGTGGGGTGATGTGGGAGGGGAGCAGTGAGGGGAGAGATGCATGGGGGGGGTGGAGAGGGGCATGGGGGAGAGTGGTGGGCGGGTGTCATCAGTACCTACCGCCCTCGCACAGTGACGGGCACAGGAGAGTTTTGGGTGGGGATCCCTGCCTTCTCACAGCTGCTGGCAATCGTTGCAACAAAAGAGGCAGCGGCAGGCAAGGGCAGAGGGCAGGGGCAGGGGCAGGGGCAGAGAAGGATTTGGAGCCCCGTATGCATGGGAAAAGGAGCTTTGAGGGGAGGGTATTGAGACGTCGCAAAAGGATTGGGGGGGAGAGGGAGGTGATGGGAGCACAACAATTGTTGCACTGGCTCACTCATCGTGTGCTCCCGTTCGTTCTCACTGCCACTTCATCGTCTCTTCCCATGTGTTGTTGTCCCGCGTGCCTCTCCTGTGACAGTCTTGCCTCTTCTCGTCCCTACCTCCCGCCTGTATTGACGTCACCTCCGCATGTGTAGACCTCACCTCCCGCCTGCGTCTTATACATGAGTTGTGTTCTTCACTCGGTCAATTCACAGATTCGCTGAGCCATTGGATCCCCCCCCTTTTTGTGGTCTCCTTTCTCCTCATGAGTCGTCTCTCTCCTCTCTTTCCCCCCTTCTTTTCTGCTGCCGCCACCAGGCTCATCATCATCCTCGGGTCTCTCTTCTTCTTCCTCGTCTGCTCCTTCATCGTCATCTCTCGTGTTCCCCTTCTCAACTCCCTCCTCCTCTCCTCCACCTCCATCCTCCTCTCCACCACTCACGCTTTCCTCTCCCCCTTACTCTCCCTCGTCTCATCCCTCCTCACTGCTCTCGCATCCTCCTTCCTCCCCACCCTCGCCTCTCTCTCCTCCTCCTCTCTCACTCTCGCATCCTCCTCCCTCTCCTCCCTCCACCACACACTCCAACCCCTCCTCTCACCCCCATCGCCTCCCCTGCCTCCTCTTCCTCCCTCCGCCCCCTCTCCCATGCCCTCCCCTTTCCCCCCTTCCCCCCCTTCCCCACCCACCACTGCCACCACTCTTCCCTCCACTTCGTCCCCCGCATCTTTCCCCTCCCCTTCTCCCTCATCCGCCAACTCTCTCCCCCCTCTAAACCCATCTCAACCGCACACGCCTTCTGAGACGCCGGGCACACCAAGCCGGCAACAGCAACAACAACAGCAGGACGAAGAAAACGTTGGTGGGCCAAGAGAATTGTTGCCACCAAGCATGGAGGAGGAAAGAGAGCGGCGGGGAATGGAAGGGGGGCGTGCGGAGGGTGGTTCAGAAGGGGTGGGGCAAGGAGGAGGGGAGGGAGGTGGAGGTGGGCAGGAACAAGCAGGGTCAGCTAAAGCAGAGGCAGGTGAAGGAGAGACAGGGCAAGCAGCAAGAGGAGCAGCGAGAGAAGGGATGAGAGAAGGGGCATGGGGAGAAGGATCAGCGGCGAGAAGGGTGAGAAGAGGGACAGGTGGAAAGGTCCCAACAGGGAAAGGGAAGATGGGTGGTAAGCAGAGGGTGGTTGCACGAGGGAAAGTGAGGGGTGGGGAAAGAGGAATGCAAAGAGGGGGAGTAGGAGGAGCAGGGAGTGGAGGGGAACGAGGAGGTAAAGAGTCAAGAGAGGGAGTAGTAGCAGGAGCAGGAGCAAGGGAAGAGCGAGGAGCCAGAGGAAGCGGAGAGGAAGACGCAGGAAGTAACACAAGAGTAGGAGGAGGAGAAGATGGATTGGCAGGTGCAGGTGAAGCTAGTGAGTGCAGTGCATCTGACACAGCCGGTGGTGAATCAGCTGTTGGTCGCCAAGTCCCCATGCCTGAAGCACCTCCTCTTGCTCATCCGCCTCCCCCTGCCACCCACCGTGCTGCCTACTACGGGTCTCCTGATGTTGGGGATTCACCTGCTGGGGATTCACCTGCTGGGGATTCACCTGCTGGGGATTCACCTGCTGGGGATTCGACTGCTGGGGATTCACCTGCTGCTGCGCCTGTGAGTGGCGGAGGAGGTGAGGAGACTGCAGAGGGTGGGGGAAGGGAGAGGGCGAATGGGGGATTGGAGGGAGAGGGTGGGAGTGAGGAGGAGGGCAGAGAGGGAGTGGGCAGAGAGGAGGGCGAGCAGGGCACATGTGGGGTGGCAGGTGGCAGTGGCATGTGTGATGCAGACTCTGAATCGGCTGCAGCCTTTCAAGGAGATGCCCTCAGTGCTTCTGCTGCTGTTTATAATAATGCTGCTGCTGCTGATGCTGCTGCTGCTGCTGCTGCTGACGCTGCTGCTGCGGCTGTTGCTGACGATTCTGCTGTGGCGGCTGCTGTTGATGATGCTACTGACACTGCCAGCGCTGATGCTGATACCGTCCACACTCATTCTCCTCCTGCTCATACCGTCCACACTCGTGCTCCTCCTGCTGATGCCACCACCACTGCTGCTTCTGATGCCACCACCACTGCTGCTGCTGATGCCACCACCACTGCTGCTGCTGATGCCACCACCACTGCTGCTGCTGGGGACTAGTGTGAAGTGAAGGGGGGGGCGACAGTGTGGTCGGGGAGGAGTGGGGTGGCTTGAGGCGAGCACATGAGCACAGGGCGGATGCAGAGGGTTAGAGGTCTGTGGGGGGTGGAGATTCGTGATGTGGATGCGGGTCGGATGGTAGGAGGTGCAGGTGGGGATGTGGGCGGTGAGTTAAGTCGCAAGCATGCAGCTGTTGGGGGGTTGTGAGACACAGGAAGTCAAGGGTAAGCGAGGAGGAAGGGTAGGAGGCAGGGAGAGCGGAGCGGAGCAAGGTTGGCCGCACGAAAGGAGTGGAAGGGCGAGAGGACTCTAAGAGGTGGAGGGAGTGCGGAAAGAGTGAAGAATGGTAGCAGTTACGGTAACGGGGAAACTGGGCGGACGGGGCTGAGGAAGGAATGGTGCTTGTGAGGCCAGGTCGGCTGTGATTGTGAGGCGTGGCTCACACAATTGGCAGCAGCAGCGAATGCTTGCATTGCATGCAAATCCCCTCTCCGACTGTTTCATGACAGAATGTGATGTTTGTGTAGCCTGCAGTGGGGTACTCTGTAGCGAGTACAGCCCGAATTAGGGTTTGCTATATGTACTCAACTGCATGCTAGTGAAAACCCCTCTTTCGTGTTTATCGTTTTAGCCTGCTATTTCGACATGCTATCAGAACAGGTCGACCCTCCTGGGTCGATCCTGTGGGTGGGCCCCACCCAATGCTTCCGCTGCGGTTTCCTGCGGTCCCCTGCCTGCCGCGCGCCCTGGGCGCGCGGCGATTTTTTCATCCCGCCGCGCGCTCGGGGCGCGCGGCGGTTTTCTGCCCCGTCGAACCGCGCGTCGCCCCCTGTCGACCGTCGCGTCGCCCCCCGTCGCCCGACGCGGCCCGCGCGACCTGCGCCAGGCCCGCGCGCGACCCGTACGGGCTGCGCCAGGCCCGCGCGCGGCCCGTACAGCCCGCGCGCGGCCCGTACGGGCTGCACCAGGCCCGCGCGCGGCCCGTACGGGCTGCGCCAGGCCCGCGCGCGGCCCGTACGGGCTGCGCCAGGCCCGCGCGCGGCCCGGGCAGCCCGCGTGCGGTTCGTCCCGAGCTTCTGACCGCGCCCCACCCCCGCTGCTGCCCGCGCTCCTGTGTTAGGGTTTGGGGGTGGAGAGTGTGGGGGTGCCGGGTGTGTGAGCCGTCCCCTGCTCCTCCTCCTCCTCCGTCTCCCACTGCTGCAGCTGCCGCTGAGGGGGGTGGATGTGTTGGAGCCGTCGGAGTGGTACGAGGGGGGTGGCGTGTGAGCGGTGCTAGTGGTTCAGCAGGGAGTGTGTGAAAGGGGTGTGGGACAGTTGGGGGAGGTTGACAGGAGGTGGCCGTTGTGACGTCTGCAGCGCCAGTAGTCCGGGGGTTGAGTACTCCGGTAGCCCAGCGAGCCTGCTGCTGCCAGTCGCCCGTGGGTCTGTTGCTCCTGCTGCTGCTTAGCGCGGAGCCAGTTACTCCTGTAGTCCGGAGGTTGAGTGCTCCGGTAGCCGCCGTGCGCGCCGTTCCTGTTGCCCGTGTGTCTGCGGCTTCACCCGTCGCCTTCTATCTTCACTCCTCTCACAGTCTCTCCTCCTCCTCACTTGCCCTCTGTGACTGCCTCTAGCTTTGCTTATCATTGTGAACTATTGCTCTATGACTGCTTGTTGTGTTGATTGTACCCCACTTTGACTATGGGGGTGTGTCAGAATGTGATGTTTGTGTAGCCTGCAGTGGGGTACTCTGTAGCGAGTACAGCCCGAATTAGGGTTTGCTATATGTACTCAACTGCATGCTAGTGAAAACCCCTCTTTCGTGTTTATCGTTTTAGCCTGCTATTTCGACATTTCACACCTATCCAAATCCCCTTGCATGTAATCATAATGACTGCACGTACGTGTGTGGTTCCTCCAATTCACATTCTGGTCCAATTCCTCTAAGCTCGCTCGTTTGAACCACCTTGGTCAATCAGTTGTCACTGTATGCTGTACTCTAAGGGCGTATTCCTATCCTCCTATCAATCTGACCTCCTATCAAGCTCACACTGAAAAATCCCCTAAACCCAAAACCTCTCGCTACTTTTCACAGGCAAAAGGTACAATCTTGATAGGAGGTGGCTTGATAGGAGGCCGTAGGAATACGCACTAAGAACAGAGTCATCATCGTACCATGCCTTTCAACTGAGAAGCTCATGTCATGACAGCATCCTGCTCCTGCTTCGAACTACGTGCCACAACTCCCTCACGAGACTAATGGCGCTTCAAACTGTTACCAGGGTTGGAACACATGCTACCGTATAGTAATGCTATCCTATAGTTGTTTCTTTACACACGCCAGCTCACCTCACCACACCCACCAAAAAAATGAAGGCCCTACAGATGAGGATGGAGTTGGAGAAATATCGATTATACATCTCATGTAAGTACATGCATAATTATTGCCTTACAGGTAACTTCCCGACCAACTACCACACCTCTTCATCTCATTTTGGTACACCACATGAAACAATAATCACGAACATTATCCACGAAACCGGTTCAGTACGAGGGGTCTAGTCTAAATGACCTTGGCGAGCTGGCACTCGGTGGTGTTGGTCATGGAGTAGCTGTTGCCGTTGCCGAAGCGCAGCTCCTGCACGCAGGGCCGGAAGTCCCACAAATGCGCATACACAATGTTCACCGTCTCCCCGGGAAGCATCTGAAGCGTGCCGCTAGCACCACGGTTCATGCGCATCTCACAGTACCCCGGCAGCGTCTGCACGAAGATTTCGCCTTGCTGGTACTGCGTGGGGTTGGGCGCGGGGTTGTCGAGGACGCCCTCCCAAATGTTGTAGAAGTTGAAGCACTGCCACACGCGCAGCGGGCTGGTGACGTTGTAGGCGCAGCCGTTGTAGAAGGTCATGTTGTAGATGTCGTTGTGCAGGTCGTACGGCCCCAGGTACTGCGAGCGGATCGTCACCGTCGTGCGCCCACACGCTGGAGAATAGGTAGGGTGGGGGGTGGGGGGAGGGGGAGAAAGGAACAGAAAAGAATTGTCATTATGCATCGCCATGCTGTATATCACGAGAGAGGGGGAGCAGAGAAATGAGAGCCAAGGGGAGCAGCAGATGAGACGTAAGGGGAGCTGAGAAATGAGAGCCATGGAAAGCAGAGAAATGAGAGCCAAGGGGAGCAGAGAAATGAGAGTCAAGGGGAGCAGAGAAATGAGAGGCAAGGGGAGCAGAGAAATGAGAGCCAAGGGGAGCAGAGAAATGAGAGCCAAGGGGAGCAGAGAAATGAGAGCCAAGGGGAGCAGAGAAATGAGAGCCAAGGGGAGCAGAGAAATGAGAGCCAAGGAGAGAAGAGAAATGAGAGGGAAGGGGAGCAGGAACGCGCTGTGAGAAGAAAGGAACAGCAGACCAAAGGAACCAAGGCAGGGAAGAGAGGGAGAGGAGGGAGTAGAAGCACGTACAGGTGGCGAGGGCCTGGCGGTGGGGGATGTGGTCGAGGTAGTCGGGCAGAGGGGCGTGGTGAGCAAAGGTCTCAGCCGCCAGAATGCGCGCGCCCTTCCTCTGCTGCCCCGCCGCCGCCCCGCCAGCCACCCCACCGCCCCCACCGTCCGTGGGGACCAGGCCCCTGGCTACCTTCATGGCGTCGCGCGCTCCACTCACCGCCGCCGCCAGCAGCCCCACTGCCAGCGCTGCCAGCACCAGCACGCGCATGCCAGCCGTCGCCATCAGGGCTCGCACAGTAGTTGCTTCTGAGTTGACTCAGAATTCGGGTGGAAGAGGTGACTCGCTTGCACAGGAGCTGGAGAGAGCTGGAAGGCTGCTGCACAGGCTGCTGCGAACGGGTGCTCGAGGAAGAGATTGAAGGGAGAAGCGGATTGGAGCTGATGATTCCATGGCTGCTCATGGCGCCGGCTTTATAGGCGGAGGTGAGAGGCGCTTTGGTGAGGAGGTGGTTAAGGATTAATGCCTTGAGTTTGTGAAGTGGAGGCAAAGCTGCTGGAAGCGACACGATCATTGGAGGAGGCGAGGCGTCGGCGGGACGCGAGGCGAATCAGGCGATGGAAAGGTGCATCGTAACCGTCGTCGTTGCGAATGCCGCTTTCGTCGCTGAGCCCATGACTCTGACTCTTGAGTCATCGCCGTCACACGAAGACTCCCAATGCCCGCATGTCTAGTCGGTGCAGCGCGATTCATGCGACTTGTGCGACAAGCCAGGCGTCGCAGAAAAGCACAGAGTCGGAGGATAACACCGAGACACACGGATGGCTCGATCGGATGTATCCATGAAACGAGATTCGCGTTCGCTGGTGGTTAAATAACGACAGCGCTAACTACCTCAAATTAACGTTCCATCGATCCCCCCGTTCCTGAATCCTCATGTCTCTGTGAGGATTCCTCGTCCCCGTCCCAGTATTTCGCGCCGGGTATCTGAAATCGGAACTGCAGAGACGGTTAAAAGACATTCCTCGTGTCTAACGACACGCAGCAGCCGCGTCGCGCCCAACACCATCGCTTGAAACCAGAGAACCTGTCTACCCGACAAACTACAAGCCAGTACGGGAATCGCTGCAGGCAAGAGCTTGTCGGTATTACCTAGCAGTTGTCGCCTAACCACCTTCGGCTACGGGGGAGTGTGATTGGCTCACCTTGCATCGGCGCATGGGGCATGTGGCCCTGCCCATCTTGCAGCAGCTAGTGAAGAATGAGATGGTTGCTGGCATACGTGTGAAGGGGGAGCCCGATGAGGTGCTTGGCTGCCCGACATGCATTCAAGCCAAGTTCACCCGGTTTCCGTTCCCTAGTTCGGAGGCAACGGCAAAGGCACCGCTTGATGAGGTGGTGATGGACGTGGTGGGCCCCCTGAAGCTTGGAGCTGCTGGAGCTGAGTATTTTCTCACCATTGTCGACGTCTACACCCGCATGACTTGGGTGTACGTGCTGGCCAAGAAGAGCGACGTGGCTGAAACGTTGAAGACGGATTGGTTCCCGATGGTGGAGCGGCAACAAGACCGTCTAGTCAAGTCAATCCGCACCGATCGAGGGGGAGAGTTCCTGAGCAAGGAGTTTGGGTTGTGGCTGAAGAAGAATGGTATTCGGCACTCCCTCACCATGCCATACTCCCCTGCAATGAACGGCATCGCCGAGCGAGCGAACCGCACAATCACGGAGGCGGCACGCGGGTTGCTCATTGAAGCCGGGCTACCCGACTATTTCTGGCCTGATGCGGTGCGGAGCGCGTGTGTGGCCAAGAACAGAGCCTTGACTCATGTGGGAGCAGACAAATGGGTGCCCTATGTGGAGTGGCTAGGAAGGAAGCTAAAGGTGGATATGCTTCGGGTGTTCGGGTGCATGTGCATGGCGCTCGTGCCTAAGCATCTTCGGCACAACAAGCTTGGTGCCAAGGCGGTGTGGGCCGTGCACTTGGGCATGGCTCAAAACAGCAAGGGATGGCTTCTTTGGGACCCATTCACCAAGAAGTTCTTGGTGAGCAAGGACTGCAAGTTCATGGAGAACTTCATGTACAAGGATTGGAAGGCGGAGAATGAGGCGAAGATAGGCGTGCGGTTTGGGGAGGTGAAGAGTTCCGGTTTGGAGCATGTGGAGCTGCCTTTGGAACTGAGCAGCGGCAGCACAACCACAAGCCAATCCTCCCTTGTGAATGGGGGAGAGGAGGCCAATGATGCAGAGGAAGAAGAGGAGGAGGTGCAGCAAGTGAGCGAGCGTGCACCGGCACTCCCTTCCCGTACTACGAGTGCTCCACGGATTCGAGCCACACCGCAGCAACGCCAAGGCCTTCAAGTCCCTGCATCTGAGGAGGAAGGAAGGGGGAAGAGGAGAGTTCAACCCCCTAATAGGCTGACCTATGATGCGCCGGGAAAGCAGGGCAAGACAGCCCTGGCCGGAGCGGCAATGATGGTCGGAGACGACGAGGAGAGTGACTACGAGGAGTGTGCCTTCGCGTTCTTCTCTCCGGTGGAGATGCTGGGAGAACCAGCAACTCTCAAGGAGGCTTTGGAGAGTAGTGATGCTGAGGAGTGGAAGAAGGCCATGGAGAGTGAGCTGAAGAGCATCGAGGAGAATGACACGTTTGAATTGGTGGAGCTACCGGAGGGGCGTACGGCGATAACGTCCAAGTGGCTCTTCAAAATCAAGTCGGATGCCGACGGCAAGATCGAGCGCTACAAGTCTAGGCTTGTAGCCAAGGGGTACCAGCAGAAGGAGAAGGTGGACTTCAAGGAGCTGTTTGCCCCTGTGGTGAAGCCGACGACGCTGCGAACCCTATTCGCGGGAGCCGCCATCAAAGGATGGGTAGTAAAGCAAATGGACATCGTAACGGCATTCCTTAACGGCATCCTTGAGGAGGAGATTTTTATGGCGCAGCCAGAGGGGTTTGATGATGGTAGTGGCAGAGTGTGGAAGCTGAAGAAGGCCCTCTATGGGCTGAAGCAGGCCCCTAGGCAATGGTACATGAAGCTGCGCGAAGTGTTGGAGGGGATCGGCTTCACTCCCTCAACGGCCGATCACTCCTTGTTCATGCTTGGCGAGGGGGAGCAGAGGAGTTTCATGGTGGTTTATGTGGATGACATCCTCATTTTCTCACCCTCTTCTGACCTTGTGAAGGAGGTGATGCTGAAGCTTCAAGACAAGTCCAAGTGCAAGGCCCTTGGTGACGTGAGCTTCTACCTTGGGCTCCACATCGAACGAGATGTGGAGAAGCGGTGCATGCGGGTGCATCAACGAAAGTACCTGGAGGCATTGGCTGCCAACTTTGGGCAGAGTGAAGGCCATGTGGCTACACCCTTTCCCTCTGGGTTCAAGTGTGTGAAGGGACCAGAGGAGGAGAGCGTTGGTGAAGAGGAGAGGCGCCGATTTCACTCGTTGGTGGGCAGCCTCATGTATGCGGCGGTAAACACCCGACCGGACGTCGCGTTTGCTACCGCGCAGCTGGCTAGGGTTGTGCAATGCCCTAATGAGGAGCAGGTAGCAGCTGGAATGAGGGTGGCCAAGTATCTTGGCCAAACACCGACCGTTGGGCTGCAATACTCGGCGGCGGCACAAAGGCGCCAAAAGGGCGCGGATGGTGTTGAACCCGGGCGTTTGTTCCTCACCGCCTACTCGGATGCTTCATATGCATCAGAACCAGAGGACATGACAAGTGTGGGAGGCTTCATATGCTGTGTTGGTGGAGGCCCAACTGCTTGGGAGAGCAAGAAGCAGGTTGACCAAGCTTTGAGCTCGGTGGAGTCCGAGTACATGGCACTCTTCCGTGCCGTACGGGAGATTGTGTGGCAGCGGCGTTTGTTGGCTGAATTGGGGGAGGAGCAGCAAGGACCTACCCCACTGTACTGTGACAGCCAGGGTGCCATTGCTCTTGCTAAGAACCCTGTGTTGCATGGACTCACGAAGCACATGAGGGTGAAGTGGCATTGGACGAGGAGCATGGTAACCGCGGGTGAAGTTGAGTTGCGCTACGTGAAGACCACGGGGCAGCCGGCTGACATGATGACCAAGAGGCTGGTGGAGCAGCAGCATTGGAAGTGTTGCAAGCTGGCTGGGATGGCTCTGAACTGAGAGAGCAACATATCCTAAGGCCAACAATCCGAGGGGGAGTTTGTTGGTGCAACCCTACGGTTTGCACTCGGCTTGTTGTCCGTGTGCGTGAATGTGTGTGTGTATGGAATGGTATGAGGGCATGGGATAATATATATTTCATGCTTATAATTGTGTGTGAATGTTGAGTCATGATGTCGAGTGTGTGTGTCGAGTCAATAGCGAGTTATCGCTAGACGCGTGTTACGCGGTCGTTTGTGTCTCGCGCGCGGTTTCTATTTTGTCGTGCGCGGTTTCTATTTTGTCCTGTGTCGAACGTTCGGCGTGTCGCAGGTGTGTGCAGCAGACCCATCAAGAACTCAAGGATGAGTTTGTGATGAAGAGCCCGAGCCTTGGTGTCAAGCCTCAAGTGATTTCGAAGCTTGCCAAAAGGGTACACCTCAAGATATTGAAGATAGTTACATTACTTTGTGTAGTGTAACATTTCACTTGGTGTAGGCCCTAGTGAAGGGTAGTTTCGAGACCCTTCGTGGTTGGGGACAGTGTGGCACTGTTCCACATCACTGTACCTCGGCTCTTGGGGTTTGTAGGAGCTGGGAGTCATTCCCAACTCGTAACTCTTCCTATCTTGTGTTCTAAGACTATAGTGGCTGCCATAGTACCGTTCGTTCAAACCGACGCTGTGTCGTCAATTCTTTATCAAATTGCTAATTGTAGACGACGTGAAGACGCTCCAGATCCAATTTGAATCAAGTCATTTGCAGCTGTGAGCAGAACGCTATCAACGTTTGAAGCCGCTGTGCAGAAATCCGTCAGTGCTCTCTATCTTTCGTTTTAGGCACATTCAAGCCTATTGTGACTATAACACAAACTACAAGCCAGTACGGGGAATCGCTGCAGGCAAGAGCTTGTCGGTTACCTAGCAGTTGTCGCCTAACCACTAACGCAAGAGGATTGACGAGGGAGAAACAGCAAGCCCGTGTCTTTCTCAATCCTAATAATCGTGGCTGGGGTTCCGTGGATGCTCGCGGAAACGGTTATTGCATCCCACCCGCGCATGTGCGAAGACTGGAGAAGCTGCACGAAAATGTTTCGTAACCATGCCAGACTTTGATTTTTGTAATCGCCTAGTTTCGCCAAACAGGCGAACCTGACAATAGTTCAAGGGATAATGT